CTCTCATGATGGATACCCAAGGTCTCATCACGCCAACATTGATGTGAATATTCTTTTATTACGTCCTATCAGTCAACGGATGTTTTATTCTATGCGCATTAAGTTATAAATGTCTATTTTGTGTAATCTTTGTAGTGTTCAGCTGCCTGAACGCAAACCGATGTCTCGTTTTGCTGTTACATGGCGGTAATTTGGAGCCAATTTCACACCAGCAGAAGTGATAAAGTCGTTGCTACGTGTGACACGGAGGACAATGCTTTTACCATCCAACTCACTTAAGCTTTCATTATTATTCACATGGCAGATGTTCAATTGCCTGGATGAGAGAAGTAAATCAGGGGTATATCTGGTGGGGATCTCTGCTTGGAGCGTGACATCATAACTCATTCTGACACCCAGCTCTGCAACCGTCAGGCGAGACTGTTTGAAATATGGAGGAGAGGCGTTAACACATTCTGGAGGCCAGGCTCAAAAGCCCGTTTGGTTTGTGCGGACATGTTCTGACGCGCTGTACGAGTAACAGGCCGTTGGTGAAGTTTCTTTCCCCCAGCCCACTATTTTCAGCTGCCTCAAACTTTTCAAGTGCACCAAGGCCTGGAACAACTCCCACTCCCCCCACATAGACGATGATGGTTTTAGAGAAATCAATGAGAACTTTATTAACTTGTTGCCTCTGCTTTTTTCTGCCTCCTTCCCTGTGCCTGCTTTGCTTGCAGAGGGAATAGAGTGAAGATATGAAGATCAAGAGGATGGCAGACGCCATGAAAGAAATGAGAGCAGTGAGACTCTGGAGAGGAGGTGGTAGCATATCATTAATTCTGTTTTCTGTGGAAAATTGTGCCATTGTCCATCTCTGCAACTACATACATCTACAATACACAGCTTAACAATTCTATATGATATTAACTGACAAGGTTTTAAAAGCACTTGATTGTGCTTTTCTCATTCTTCTTGCTGATATCCATCAAATGGACGTTGCTACTCCCATTTTTCCCCCTTATACATTACATAAATGTGAGTCATCTTTGCATCCTCGGCTGATTTATTCATGCTCTTTTTCTTTTATCGTCGTTATATAATTGTTGTTGTTATTATTGTAACTTACTTCACTAGTTTTCTGGTTAAGCTACACAAAAGTTATTGAAGTCTTAAAAAAAAAAAGCAACTTTTTTTTGTCTTTTAAATGCATGCCTTTCTGCACAAGGCTTTCCCTGCCTGTAACAACTATCTCATGCGCTGTGCCTTACTATTCTATGTTCTTCTTCTATGTTTTTATTCTCTTTTCTTTCTTGATCACATTTCTATATATTGTACCATATCATTTAGTTTGAAGGCACGCAGCAGCTGTGCTCTCAGATGTGTCATATAAATAAAGCCTCTTTTGCTTACTTGCAGAGTATGATGTCCCGGTGTGTGAAATTCCAAATTACTGTATGTATTTTTCGTAGTTCTTGCGCTGCCAGGCTCATGTGTTACTTGTGATTTGTCTTGGGACTTGAGACTAAAATAACCTATAATGTCATTTGAACACAGTGTGGTTTTCATTTTTAGAAAAGCCATCTATTTGGTAAACTTACTAAGCCTAATCCAAACATTTAATACAATGCAGAGTATCAGGGTGGTTTGCGAGGGTTAAAGTCCTCTTTTTATTCTCATAAGCAGGTCAAAACAGCTTTGGTTTGAAAGTGATCTCAGTCGCCATTTTCCTGACATTTAATTTTCACCAAAGAAACACCACTGCACTTCACTGCCCAGGCCTATCAGCCGACAAATCCGCAGACTCTTAAAAGCCGAAAGCAGGGAAATTAGCTAAAGAAATAAAGGGTTGATTAATGACACCTTTCAGTCAGTCCAATATTGCCTGTCCTGGGAGAATTGCCTGACTAACACTGCCCTTTCAGCCTGAGGGTGCAGAGTTGAGCTAAATGAGTGACTGGCACTGAGGCGTTCGCTTCACAGACTGGAACCCAGATATTCCTTCTTTTTAGTACATACAATTACAAAAACAGCAAGGAGTAAGGCTGCATGTGACCAAAAGAATACCTCATCTTCAGATGGAAAAACCATCAAAAAATGCACAAATGGGACATTTACAGTCAGACATTTTTTAACACATCAGAAAACAAAAAGAAGAAAATGGTACTGACTCTGATGTTACTCACAGGCAAGTTAAAGCAGAGCTTTCCAACTCTTGTTGCTCTTTCTTGATCTTAGCAGCCTGATGTGTTACTAGCGTGTTGTGTTTATTTTAGGTGGCCTCTGACAGCCAGCCGGAGTGGTTAATGAAGTGGATACATACGTGCCACATCTGAGTGGGGCAATGGAAGCAAAACACAACTATGAACTGACCTGTGAACAAAAACCTTTTTTTTTTTCAGGACATAAAGGCGCTGGAGAGAAGTTCTGCAGGACGGGCAAGGTTATTGTCACATGTGGTTAATACGCACAGGAAATACTGTCAATTGTTACGGCAGTTTTTCCAGCTGTGATGTTTACAGCGGCGACATTATGTTTTCAGGCAAATTGAAAAAACAAAACAAATTTTTTTTCTCTGTGAAAACGGCACACAAACGCTGAGAAACAATGCCGGACATAAAAGGACAAAGCTGCCCCTTGATTATCCCGCGGCTTTCACCTGTCAAATGTGCTTTTATAGAAGCACTTCAGCAAGTAGTTTGACAGATAAAAGGGAGAATAAAACGTATTGGCCGACATCTGTCCCTGGACAGAACTTTACAAATTGCAAAGTAATGGCTACTGACCACTCTTTCTGTTGTTTATTTTTTATTTTTTATGTACCTAATGCCATGTCAAATTATCACTTTCCAACCATTTTTTAAACCCCCAACAGTTTTGTTCTGGGTCTGTTTATGATTTCCTGTCTTGGGAGTGTGTTATATTGTAAAAAAACTGAATCGATTTAATACTTTGTGGTCTTGTGTGTAATTTTCTAACCAGCTATTTTTTCTGTGGACCTTGATGCAGCTTCCATCTGAAATAGAATGGAGTAGAGCTCCAAGTTTCTTATGCCATGCATCACCTCTAACCTGGTGGAAATTAAAATCACTTATACTATACCTGACCTAAGTGCAGCCATGTGCTCTGTACCGATATTAAAACTAATTTGCCGAATAAATTCAACCTGATAGTGCTAAAACCGATCTCTTCTTCTTTTGAAACACCTTGAAATTAGCGGGATGCAGCATTTCGTTCTCCATCGTCTATCGACATTGCCATCTTCATTCATTCACAAATCTTTCATCGAAGTGAATACAATTCACTGAGAAGGATGGTGCATCAATTTTCTGTCACTTGTTTGAGACTGGGTGATGGTGGAAGCCATACATCTCTGTCATACATCTCTGTCCCTCGTGACACGAAGGACATGCTCATGCTGGGAAATGCCAAGGGTTCCCATGCTAGCAGGGATATACAATCCCTCCAGCAAGTTCCGAGTCTGCCCTCGGGCTTCCCCTCTGTTGGGCATGCCGGGAAAATCTCTTCAGGTCGGTGAGCAGTGAGGCATCCTAAAAAAATGCAAGAAAATCACATATGGGATTGCAACCCCACACAGAAACCCCTGGGGGACTTGATTGCAAACCTTTTCCAAGCCTACAAACCTCAAACTCCTAAGATTCCCTCACTAAATCCTTTTCACCAGTTGCACTTCCACAACCAAGGTGAAAATCCCCCTCCTCCTCCTCAGTCCGAGATTCAACAATCGATCAGAGCCTCCACTTGAACAACACTGAAGAGGCAGATCTGTCAAGACAGCTGTATTTAGTTGAGAGTCTTTTGGCATCTCAGCGCATATTTTGTCTTGAAGCATTGTAAGTGCCCTGGTGTTTTCTGCCAAGATGATAGATGAGACTTCCATCAGTTATGATGATTACACTGTGTTCTACAATCTCATTGAAAACCAAATGACCACAGAAAATGTTAACCACTCAGAGGATAAACAGACTGTATCGTCTGCTCATTCAACATTGAGCACCATGTTGCCTGATTTAAAATAATGCACATTTTAAACAATTCAAATCAAGAGTTTTCTTTCCTTTATGATTTTATTGAGCCATATATTTTTATTTGGGTATTTATAGCTTTCATAGAGAAATTGTATTTTATATCAGGTCACTGTACTGTGACCGTGCACAGGTAACACATTTATCTAATAATTTCAGAAGTTACTGGAACCTTAAAATGGTTTTCAAAACCCTGGGGATGCATTTGCTTTAACACAGAGGGGTGCTATCAAAGAAGCATTGGAGAGAGACTTCAGAGGACTTCACACGGCATCCCAGTATCCCAGCCAATTTAGCTGCAAAAGATGCAAAAATGGTTTAAAGATTTGTTTTTTTAGACAAGAGTATACGAGCACGTACATTTCTGAATTATTTCATGTCAGGTCCATAATTTGTAACTTTGAATAATTGTGATTAAAATAATCATTTGTGACTGAAAAGTGTACAGAGTATAAGAACAAAACTTTTACATGACGAAATGATTAAAGGAAAATGTATGTTAATAAGTAACTTATCCAAATGAAAGCTGGACAAAATGATAAATGCTTTTTTGGATAGGTATGTGAAATTAACATTAAACAAATCAGTGTTTTGATATATAACTTCAAGTGAAAAGTGAAAAATCATTTGCTCCACATAAACACATTTTGTTAAATACAGAAGATATGATATCGAGAATGAACATTTTATAATAAATCTTTGAATTTGATTCTATTGGATTATGATTGCATTCTTTAAATGCTGTAGTGATCCCAGCATTTCAGATAAGAGCAAAACAAAGTCACATTTGACCAAAATACATAGATGTGTCCGAAATTCTACCACTTATAAAGTGAATAATACTTTTCTACGAAATTAATGAAATTGCAATAATTTAAAATGATCGATAAATTCAAAATGAACACGTCATCCGTCTCCACAAAGGTTCAATAACAATTGTGGAACACGGCAAGGCTGGGATTTGTTCCTGTACGGCTCACTATTTCGAGACACAACTCTCTTCCTGTCAGAATTCACAACATAAGCGATACATGGAAGCTAACTAATTTGTGCCGTCTATGATCAATAAATGTTAATGTCGCATACATTCTTCTGACCAACGATGATTCCTTACACAGTCAACATCAAACTCGCAGCTCGGACGTTGACTGGCACTCTCAATTTGCAGAACAAAACCGCTGTAGATTGGTGAGTACCGCACCACCGTCGCTAGCATAATTTCCCAGCTCGCTTATTTACTCGTCAGTGATATCGACAGACTGACAGAGGATCAGACATTTCAATAAGTTCTCGCGTCTAAGTTAGCTCTATAGGGATACTATGAGGAATTGGTGTAAACGAACTAGGGCAACGCTGATTTTTCTTTTACAAAAATGCTCTTAGAGCATCTTGTGTCATGTCATGTGACATTCTGTGAACCTGGTGGCTTCCTTCTGCCTGTCTCCCACAGTGATGCCGTAGAGACGGAGGCTTCTGTTCTTGCTTGATTTTTATGTTTCCAGCAGCCTTCGTTGCCATTCTTGTCGTTGAATAATGCAACAAAGGTTTAATTCTGTGGGAAAGATCATTTGTGGTGTCCATGCATTGTTGGTTATTATATGATGTCGCTCTATACAGATGGGAGGAAGTAAGCTGGTGTTTAAACATGGAAAAGCATTTTGACTGGATAGATGGTGACATCTTAGACCTCCTTTGCTTCTGTATACTTTTTGGCACCCAGTGAGGAAGTGTTCTGATGACCGCCAGTCCGAAAGTAGGTACTGGTCTCTGTGTAGGTTTCCTGTAAACCTCTGTGTTAAGGCTCCTTCCTCTTTAATCGACACCACACAGTCCAATGAAAGGCAACTTGTGGTCCTTTGTGGTCTTCCTGGTGAGCTTGTGAATGTGCTGTGTAAAGGCCTCCACCTGTAGAATGTGGATGTTGGTGTCACTTTCTTGAAAAAAAGGTTTAAAAACTTCCTAACTGAATTTGAAAAGTGGCTTTAGAAAATTTAGGTCCGCAATTCAGTATCTTCTGGGTATTCAGGATAGCTAGTTGTATGCTGTTTATGTTGTCGTGGCTGCGCAGCTTGATATTGTTCTTTGTGATTTTTCTTTTCCTATCTCAGTCCCTCCCCTTTTTTCTTTAAATCAAATCCTGACAACCATTTAAGCCAAACCAAACTAAATCTTATTAAGTTCCTGGTTTAGGAATTTGCATAGGGTAAAAGAGCCACTCTGTCCCAAAATGCAGACTGGGGTGTCACATCTTACCATTCACTATAAAAAAATAGTAGATTCACAGACAAAACGCACTTAAGTAATGGACGGTTTCCTCCTTTTATTTTTCACATTTAGTCTTAAGTTGCGCTGAGATGATTGATACACCAAACATTGGACATTGGACCAACATTGTGTTCCATATTTTATTCGCTACAGGCTCCTGACCGTATGCAGAAACCGTGTGTTTCAGGTGGAATGTGATGACAGTTATAGAGGGAAAAAAGCAACAGCAGCAATCACAAAAAGCGGCAATGTGGCATCTTCCAAATGAGCTGTACTGAGGCATATTTATTCATTTATTTGTTCTATTGGAAGTGAATATTGTGAATTACCACCGAATGATCTAGTAGATTCTAATGAAGGTAGCACTTATCTATTGGCAGTGATATTTTTGGTGCAGCACGTCATAATTGCTTTGCTGAAGTGGAAACTTTTTACTTTTCTAACGTCTGATCAAAAATAAGATTTTATCTCTCATATGTGCTGCATTGATTTTTGCTCTAAGCTAGTTCTGATATCAGTCTGCACCAGACATTTAGAACCTCAGTTAGATATTTTTCACCATCTTTATTGTGCGAGTGTTTTTTTCCATGCAAACTCCCATTTATAGAACTAGAATTACAAAGAGGCCGAGTCAGAGCCAATCAGAGGCAGGTAACCTCTAACTGATTGATTTGGGTGTTGTATAATGTTTCATGTGATTTACTGTCTGCATTTCAAAGAATGCAGCCAAAGCTGTATGAGTGCTATTTTTTTCCCCCAGTGCACCAAAATGCTAAAACGGCTGAGCGCCTCTGACAATTCACTGTGACAGTTGTCTGATCAACAAAGATCCCAAAATGGCTTCAGCGTGTGAGCGCCAGGCAGCTGCAAACAAAGAGAGTGAGAAGTCGGGAAGAATATTTAAATGTACATAATAGCCAAAGCAGATGAGCTTTTTACAAGATCTAAATGTGTTCTGTCAGTGTGGATATTATGGGATGAGCTAGAAAGGTCAGCTCAGATGAAAAATATTTTTCTTTTTAGAATTTAGTTTACTTGTCTGTTGTGATTAAATGCGGTAGATTTTGAGATGTTATAGATGAGAAAACCATTGGAAAAATGCACCAACATTTTGTGATGGTTCAAAAGTGAATAAATCAACAAATTATTTAAATTTTTAGGTAGGAACAGCAGAACCTCACATAGTATGGATGATTAAAAACCGACATGGTTCGATTAGAAGAAGAGATAAATAGAAGTTAGCTTGCTGCTTGCTGGCCTGATTCTTTTAGTTCTGAATTGATTTTTGTAAAATAATAGTTGGCATTAATCAAATTTGCTCCCCTTTGACAGAAAGCTTGAGTCCCTATCTGGCCTTTTTTAAATTTTTTGTGGGACTTAAATCTTGTCTCAAGTTGTATATCAAGACAGAATAAAGACAAGACAATTTCTGATATTAACGCTTGTTTATTGCTATTTCTTTTGGTGACATCCATTCCACAGGTCACACAAAAGCTGCTGGGTCACCCACCTGTAAAGCTCTTTTGTGTTTTGCTCTGTTTTGATGGCTTCTTCCTGTCACTTTCCTCTTTCTCTCATGTGTCTAATTGTTTTCCTGTAGGGGTTGGCAGGGGTTAATAGCTCAAGGATGTCACTCCAGCATCCTCATAATCGATCCCAAAACGTCTCAGACCATCCAGGTCCTGGAGAGGCACAAAGCAAATGTGGTCAAGGTGAGTTTCATCAGTTTCTTTTTTTTCTCCTCAGTAGGACGGCAGCTAACGACTTAATTTATTTTCAGTTTGCTGCCTATCTAGTGATAGTTATTCCTTCATCACTGAAGAAGAATAAAGGTTTTAGCAAATACTGGATTATGTATGTACATAATATGCAACTTTCAAGCTTATTGGAATCGCACAAATCCGTTTCTACTCAATTTTTTGGTCGCACGTTTATGGAAAAATGGCGCTCATATTATTTGTTTTCCTGGCTGTAAACAAAAACAACAGGAAGCTGGTTCCTTTTTCAGAATATTTGTTTACATACCTGCAGAAGTGATCCGTCTGTCCCTCAGTAGTGAAATTGGCGGTGTGTGACCTGAGGAATGAGATGTGCCTCTGTCTGGCACACAGACTGAGCTGTGTCTTCCTCTGAGCACCCACACCATCACCACAGTTACTACTTGTGCTGATGGAATCCCACCGTGTACATTTCTGTGTGTAATGTTGAATAACGGACATTGCCTTTTAGAGAGATCTGTCTGTGATTTTCATTCTTCACCCCAAAGCACAGCCTAATCTTGCAAAGCCTGAGGAAAGAGGTCTTGCAGGTTAATAAAGAAGAATTAAACACAACACTGATCTATTCAGAACAAATGCACACACAACTGCAGTTTACTGTTTAACATTATTTTATTTAAAGCCTTTATGACATTTCCTTTGTATTTGAGAGAATTCCTTTGTTAAGCCATCTTAAGTTAAATGCATAATCTTTTCCTCTGTAGACATATTCCCACCACCTGTTTCTCTAGACATTGCTGACAGCCTCTGTAGACTAATATGTGATCTTATAACTGATTCTGTGATCTGCCGCGGGCTGAAGTGGGTGTTTTCCGCTCATAGGTGAAATGGTCCAGAGAAAATTACTACCACAACCTGAGTTCGCCCTACTGTCTGCGGCTGGCCTCGGGAGACGCGTCGGGGAAGATCATCGTGTGGGACGTTGTCAGCGGCACCGCGCACTGCGAGATTCAGGAGCACTCCAAGCCCATCCAGGGTGAGGCCCCTCCGCAGAGCAGCCGTGGAGGCTGTGACTGAATGAGTCAGGAACCAGGAACTAATGTGGGGCCGTTGCTCTGTTGTGGGGCGTTTGTTCTCATTAGGACGGCGTGACTGTCACTCCTGCTGGTGCACATTACTCATCCCCCTGTCGTGCTCTCTCTCTCTCTCTGTCAGACTTAGAGTGGTTGTGGACTCAGGACGCGTCCCGTGATCTCCTGTTGGCCGTCCACCCCCCCAACTACATCATACTGTGGAACGGAGATACAGGCACCAAGCTGTGGAAGAAGAGCTACGCTGAGAATATCCTCTCCTTTTCATTCGACCCCTTTGATCCATCCAACATGGCATGTAGGTTGATGAAAACCTGACAGAAAATCTTTCAGTACTTGGTTCATTTCAATATCGGACGCATAGGGTTTTACTAGATTTGTTATTCTTAAACTTCAGGGTGCACCTCAGCCTCTAATGCAAACAGTGTTTTCCAAGAGTTGCATTCTAACGTTTGATGGTTAGTGTAGAGAAATGCTCACAAAGCTCTTGGCGCCAATGATTTGTTTCCTTCTCTCAGTCTATTAATCTGCTCTCAATCTGTTCACTGCTCTGCTGTGGCAATGGAAATATTAGCTTTAGAGAGGGTTTTGTAAATTACTTCCCAATTCTGAGTTTGACACGCTCCACTTCCAACGAATCACCGATGATTATGAAAGGTGAGATAATACCTGTTACAGCCAGACTCTATTTTTTTTAGACAAGTTCAGTTTTACTGCTCTCATAACTAAGTGCCACTTATAAGAGCAAAGATTTTGAAGGAATTTTAGCCTAATACACAAAAAAATACAAACCTAAAACATCTTAAACTATCACCAGATGATTGCAGGAAATTGATTTTTTCCAATAATACCAATCCGATACTTATGTGATATCCAGAATGTGGGGGAAAAAAAGCCTCTTCCCATTCTTTTTCAATTCAGAATTCCGATCCTAAAATTTAAGCAGTAGAATTGTAGATATTCATATATAATGAAATATGTTTTATTTAATCTTTGCTGGAAGATCTCTCAAACAGAAATAACCTTCGTCAGACATGAAAAAATGTGTGTTTTTTATCACTGCGTCACCAAAGGTAATTTGAAAGTCAGCAGGAATTTCAGAAAAAAAACATACTTTAGCCACAAATACAGTTAGTTGGTCATCGTAGCTCAAAAATCATTTGAAAAGACACAAATGACAAAAAGAGTTGAAGAAACAACACATTCCTGAGTGTAATGTATTTGCCCACGTCTCTCTCTGCAGTGCTGACCAGTGAGGGGATAGTCTTTATCACAGACTTTTCCTACTCTAAGCCACCTGGCAGCTCGGGCAAAAAGGTCTACATAGCCAGCCCTCATGCCAGCCCGGCCCACACCAAACCGGCCCCCGCGGCCGCCCCGGCCCCCACCGGGGCCAAGAAGGCCCTCAACAAGGTCAAGGTGCTCATCACCAACGAAAAACCCACGTAAGTGCCACTTTTCTCCTTCCCATGTGGTCTACAATCAGAAATGCCGATTGCTGTAATTGGAGCTTTTTACCACTCTGATTGATTGGTTTGAGAGAAGAAATGTTTGCTGCTTTTGTTACAATAGCGTATAAACAACAAGGATGACCATGTGGCACACTTTTTTCTTTTCTTTCTCTTTAATATCAACTAGTGCTGCGGCGTTCATGTAATACAAGTTTTTAAAAAAGTCATGTCTAAGATTAGTTTGCTTTGGGTTTCTCCAGTTGAGGGTCACTATGCCTGATGCCCCCCCCCCCCCCCTCCTCTTGTCATCCTGCCCTCTGCATCCTTGCTTACATCTCAGGCTTTGAAATCTCCCGTTGCCTGGTCTGCATTACAATGATGCTGCCTTTCAGCTTTGATTCAGAAAATATTTCAAGGTCACATCTGAGGGTGGCAGCAGTGGAGTTTTATCCAAGGCTTCTTTCTTTTTTTTAAGATGAGTGCATGCTTTGCTACTTTAGATAAATTGACAATTGTCAGCGTGCGGTGACAATGTTTTGCCCTTATTTGCTGGTCAACAATTTAAAGCAACACAACGTTTTAATCGGATTTATCAAAGTCCATGTCTATAGATTAGGGATTTCAAGGAAATGATCTATGTTGGAACATATTAACACAGTAATCAATGTTTAAAGGCTTTTCTGTGCGGAAAAATCTTTTAGATCTTTCTTTTTTTCTGTGTCTGACTTGCAGTGTTGAGCAAGTTTATTTATTACGATCTACACTAATCATTAAAAATCGACACGTTTTTAATGAGTCCTACAGAAATTCTTCAGCAGCTGATGATATTTTACATTCAGATTTCTTTTTTTTCTTTTTATTGTAAAATTGCTATCAAGCAATACTACTGGCTCCTAAAATGTCATGCTCCTTGTAAAACCGCATCATTTCCCCTTAATTTATCTTTTGCACTGACATGTTGATTCTCAAAAAAGCTATTTGGCAAAAATTTGTCATTTATTTGCAATTTGTTCTAAAAATAGAGGAAACGGGAAAAGTAGAAAGCAAAAGAATAAGCAGAGGCAGTTATATAAAAAAAAACACCAATGATAAGTATCTAAAAGTTATGTCCTCAAGAAACTGAAAACAATCCACATCTAGAGCAGATAAGGGAAAGATATGTCCTTTTGGGGGAAATCTATCTAGCAAAGAACTTGAGACAGCGCCAGCAGGATTCATCTGGCCCTTCAGTTTATGCCTCTGCTGCTCACCTGAAATGATCCCCATGGATCTGTGGCTGGGAGGGAGCTCCTTGTTCCACCTGTGTGGACGGCTTAAAGTGGAAAGAATTCAAATCGATGTTCACATGTGTTGCACTTGTACATACTGTGTTACTTTCTTTTATACTGTTATTCTAACTGTGTTTTACATCTTACAATAAATAGTTGCATTTGATTTCTGTTAACTGGAATTGGATAAATATGGATGGGCTGCTCAAGACTTTAAAATGGCTGTAAATCCACATATGTCTCTCGATTTGAATCCCATTAAAAATGACCAGTTTAGTAAAACTATTAAAAAAGGAGGAATATGCTCGTTAAACCGAAATGACCAGAATAAAGTTGGTAAAAAAAAGCATACTTTTATTGAATACAATTATAGTGTGATGTCCATTCAAGCTGCAAAATTGGGTATTGTGTTTGAAAGAAAATCTACCGCTGAATTTAAAGAAATTATTTTTGTCCCATTAAGAATTTACCGTTGGACCTGAACTAGATCCAAAAGGTAGAAAAGGTGAATCCAGGCAGCAAACCGTGTGTGGCAAATGCTACATATCCATCCCCTGCTTACTGTGCACATTCAATTGCTGAGTCCAAAACTCACCTTTATACCATTCATGCTGACTTTATGCCTGTTCCATACGTATTGGGTCAGTACTCCGGCAGCTAGCTTTAGCAGCAACGGACTTCTGCATGCCTTTTCCTTGCCGACGTTAATAAGCGCACGACAGTTCAACGTGGAACGTGAGATCTGATGCCAAATCAAATCACGGGGTCCATCAGCCAAGGAGATGTTTGATTAGCAGGCAGTGGGAGAGTCTCCTAACTTGGTAGGTTTGTCACAATCAATTAACCAAAAAACAAACAAACAAAAAAACAAGCTGACAAGAAGGAGAGAGGATCTGAGAACAAAGCAGCATAAATTGCTCAAAGCATTTCATTTACAAAACAGCGGCTGAGCTGTTGTGGCTTTCAAACAGTTATTTATAGCAGCAACACAGAAGTGTCACTTTACACCCACCCAGTCACATTTAATAGAAAACTTTCCATTAATCCCAAATTTAAAAAAAAAATCGCTCTTCCTTTTTTGCTTTCCCTTTTTTAGTCTTTTCTTTCTGTTTGGACATGACACCTTTCCTCCTCTCTCTTCACACTGTGTGCAATGGATCTGTACTGTCGTATTTCTTTATTTGTGTGCGTCACCTCTGGGTGCTTATCGTGTTTAGTAGTACAGTATCTTTTCTGCTGTGGCTCTTCCTGCAAGTCCTTGATAGATGGGGGGCTTTAAACTGCATTTCCCCCCCTGCTATGTTATCAGAAAGCTGCTGAATATAGCACTACATCATGAACGTTAGTGTTTCATAAGCCTGCCATTAATCTAGATGTTTGCAAGGGCAGATCCGGTCCCTTTATCAGGATGATGGAAGACGGCCTCATGCTCATCCACGCCTGTGCACAAAATATTTTGGCTTTATATAATAATATCCTAATTATTTATTCATATTTCATTTCCGACTCAGATGATGTTTTGTACTGAAATTGTTACCATGGTCATAGCCAGTTTTAATGACTTTGGTCCCAGAATTGTAGGGTTGGCAATAACTTTCTTGAGAAGCTGATTGAACCAAGAAACACCCGAGCCTCTTTCACGACTTCTTCCTGATGTTTTTCTGCTTTTTTCTTCTTGGCTGGGCTGCAATAAAATAATAACTGTAACTCAGCTCTCTAAGTTCTCCCCAATTCAGCCTATTTTATCTGTTAGCCTTACTCCTACTAATATTTATCTGAATTGTGGTAAAATTTTTCATCTAATTTTTTTCAAATAAGGAATTAAGCTGTTCCAGTAAGCATTAGCTTGGGGCCATCTAATATAGTGAAAATTGTCTCTCTTTTCTTTGTTGAGAGAAATTTCTGATTTTTTTTCTGGCTGATTTGTTGCCCTACGGCAACATCGAAACTGCTTTCTGTTGCAGATCAAATAGTTTTGTCAATGATTTAAACAAACATAAAAAAGGAGCCGTATACCACATCAGCTTTAAATGGTGGGATGTGCTAATATAAAGGGAAGTCTGTCTGACAGGTCGAATTCCTTTTCAATCCCTTTGCTCTCCATCATTAGGCTCCCATTGCTTTCAAGTCTCAGGGCTTCGCTCTGTGTTTTTCAAAGATGACCACAGTAATAACCTTGCTTCGCTTCTTTTGAAGGGAGAACACAGTGTTGGACTTTCAGATTCAAGTCCATCCTAAACTTTAGCAGTTTCAGCGTCTGACTCCACGGTGCTCACCTGCATGCAGGACTTTATAAAACCAAACGATATTCTTCTCCTCTGCTCTGTGCTGCTACAGTGCCGAGGCCGTGACGCTGAACGACTGTCTGCAGCTGTCCTATCTGCCGTCCAAGAGGAACCACATGCTGCTGCTCTATCCCAGAGAGATTTTAATCCTGGACCTGGAGCTCAGCCAGACAGTGGGCGTGGTGGCCATCGAGCGCTCAGGGGTGCCCTTTATCCAGGTGAGGGTCTGCATCCATGATATCTGTGAGGCCTGACAGCAGAAATGAGTTAGTTTTTTTTTAACCCAAACAGTAAAGCCTCTTTTAGATGGTTTTTAGTTTGCCGTTATCTGTCAGTTGCATTGGCAGTTTGCGATGTATATTCCGACTTCATAGTCGGTTTAGTTGAGATAAATATCAAGCACGGCTGTGCTGTCTTGCTTCTGCATCAGCATCTCTCTCTTCTCGTAAATGAACTTGTTTAATCGCACCGCCCGGGCTTCACCAAAATCGGCCTTAGTTTGCAGACGTTTCGCTCAAGAAGCCAATTCCACCTGCCGAGAATGATTCAGTTCTCTGCCTCTCCTCCTCACTCTTAGTTCTCACCTCATGGAAGTGTGATGGCTGCACAGCAGGGTCATGCCTCTCTAAACTGCAGCAGAAATGCCTCACCCAGCTCTACAGTCACAGACTGGAAGAGGGGACATTTGGGTGCCAGTTCCCATGCTCTAAACGCAGAGAATTCTAATTGGAAATTGATGAGTCCTGTGAGAGTATAATATAGAGGATTTGTCACGGCTGCAGAGCTAATAGGAACTCTCATAATGTTACCACACTCACAAAGCCTTCTCATCCCAACTCCCTCTCTGGCTATGAAGAGAATAACCATTGTTGATGCTTGATGAAGAATGGCTCTCCATCACTGCGGTGGTTCAGCTTTATTTGAGCCATATTATGCCTTTTCTTAACAATGCTCTTTACATTCATTGTCATGCACGACTGCATGCGATTGGACCAGTTGGTCCCCCTGTTTTCAGCTGACATGTATGAAACCTTTGCATGTGTGCAGTTGCAGTCTTTTCTTTATTTTGCTGCACTTTTATAAATCACACCTTTGGGTGCCAGCGGAGTTGCTTTAATCAGTGTCTTCACAGATTAACAACACAGAGGTGGAAAATGAGCCTGTGTAGTTGAGGAATAAATTCCAAAGCGAACAAGAACTGAAGAGGAGGCACATTACTAAGCTATTCAGGCTCTGGCCAGCTAACACCTCCCCTCTCTGAGCATTATAAAGTACTTGTCAAACAGCCAGTTTGCATGACAGATGACACAGTTTAGCAAACGTGCACTGGAGTGTACTAGCTAGCTGCACATGCTCATTACGCTGTTTGCCAGTTTATCAGCCACAAGTTACCCACAGTGATGCGTTCAACTGCATTGTGTTTAAACAATACCAAGAGCTGCTTATTCTACTGTCAAGTTAGTTTGGTTTTAGGGATTGTGGGTAACTGTGGCACATAGATACAGGCAGTGGTAAGAAAAGGCCGGAAAGGTCAGCTAATACAGTTCATTAGGTTAACTGGCCACAAGTAAATAAGTTGGCAATAAATAAAGCCGATTGGCAATAAATAAAGCCGATTGATTTTTTTATAAGAAAAAAAACTAGTTAAAACTAACAACATTGCTGAGAAAATGACACTTAAGACCCAGAGGTGTTTTCTCACCCCGTGCTCTCCTTTGGTGTGATGACACAAAGATAATCTTTATTTGGGTGATCAGTGAACCTGGGGTCCTGCACACCAAAGACAATCTCACATGAAATTGCAGTGTAAGGTTCTGTGGTTGACACAGAGGAAAGGACCCCAAAAAACCTTTCATGGATTTTGGATTATGATAAAGGGTTTATATTCGAATAATAAAGGTTTTATTGAAGTTGCATTTGTAGACGCAGAGATACTAAGACTCCTTAGAAATACTTAGAAGACTGTTTAAATCTTAGCTGCTGTCAGGCGGAATTGAGCTTTAAAAAGTGTCTTTGCCAGGAAAGGCCATGCCTTTTTCAACCAGTGACACACCACATTCCAGACATATCAGAGCAGCGTGACGCTCTAGTAACAGTCACATGGTAAAAACAATGATGCTGCACATTAAAAAAGCTAAACTATACTCAAAAATACTTTCATCATGGTGTGGTCTGAGTTTTATTAATCTACTATTGAAACAGAGCAGGTATTCATTAATCAGAAATAATAGTTCCCATTTTCAGTATTCGATCAAATCAGATATTTGTTTTAAAAGATATGCAGATCTATTCATCAAATACACACAGTAGAGCAGGTTCCTCAAACTTTGGTCCCCATGGGCTGCTGTCTTCCAGGTTTTGCATGTTTCCCTGATTTAGACTGAATATGTCTCTTCAAAAGAATGTATCTTCATGAGTCTGTCAATGGTGCAATGATTTGAATTGAGCGTTTTGAAGCAGGGAAAGATGTAAAATCTGCAGAACAGGGGTCTCTCAGGAACAGATTTTTATGATCTCTGCAGCAAAGACTTTATTTTTTCTGCTTTTTTTCTTCTTTTTTTGTTTTTTGTTGCATACTGTGTTGATGTTTTTTGTTCCACATTCAAAAATGATTCTCCACAGCATGGCTGGCAAATGTGATCACGATTGCACACATCACCGTTTCCCCACTGGCTCCTGTGTTTAGGTGATTCCCTGTGCTCAGCGGGACGCCCTCTACTGCCTCCATGAAAACGGCTGCATCACGCTTCGAGTTTGTCGCTCCACGACGAATCCAGAGGAAGCAGCAGGTATGGAAATTCTTCACAGGGATGCTGCTGCACGCAAACCAGCCCTCGGAGGCCGTAGTGCTCTCAAACACCACTCTCACTCCTGTGCCAACCTCCAGTGATCATCTGTTCAGCCAGAACTGAATCACACTCTGCACCTACAGCCTTTATTTATACTCTGCTGAGCATTTGGCCTCTTACTGTCTCGTTTATCTCTGACTTACTGTTCTCAGCCAGAGGGAGTTCATTGTTCCTGTCTCCCTTTCACTTATTCACCTTGCTATCTCCTTCAAACACTCATCTCTCTGCTCGTTTTCCTTTTTCCATTAGTGTCTCGGACCCACTTATTTACCTTCTTTTCTTTTTTCCCATTTCTTACTCCCGTTAATCTTTATTACCGTTTCCATCTTGTTCTCTTTTTTTCCCCGTCAATCGCACACTCTTCAATTGTCCTATGATTATTCAGACCCAGAACAGAGTGTCCAGGAGCTCGTCTACGACCTCCGCTCCCAGTGCGACGCGATTCGAGTCACCAAGACGGTGCGTCCATATCGCATGGTGATCTGCCCCGTAAACGAAAACAACGCTGCTCTGATGGTCAGTGACGGAAGAGTGATGCTGTGGGAGCTCAAAGCCCACACCGGCAGGGCCACCCCCAATCCAAGGTACACTTGGAGAACAAAACTCAACAAAACATTTTGCTGGAAGATGGTCAAAAGTTTGGCTGCTTTAAAGTTTGACCCAAACTCAAGCTGATGTATAAACTCTCCCTAAATTCCCCATTGTTGCAGGTGGGAGGTACGCAGAATTTGGCTGTCACTGATGTGCCTTGCTTTCTGTTGATGGAACACTCCCTTGCTGCTGTTAAACAGACGTTTTTTTCCCCTCCTCCAATCCCTCTTTTTTATTGAGCAGCATCTAATCAATACAAGAACTCAGTGCAGGCGTCATCCTGTAAGGATAAAGCCGTATTTCAGCAGATCTCATTCATCATTTGCACAAGCACCGTTTCATTCATTTACCCCCCCGCGCATTTGGTTTCAGCAGCAGGCGTGTGGGATGAAAACAAAATGTTGTCTGAGTGATGCTCCCCATCTCACCCCCTCTGTTCCAGCTCGGGTCTGTCGCCTCTCTACTCCCCCGTTTCGTTTTGCGGAGCTCCATTGGGTCCAAACCAGAAAAAGATCCAGGACCTGTCTCTCAACAGCATGATCGGTATGACAGTACACCTCACAACCCTCACCATCCAATAATTTCACAGATATGCGGTTTGATGCTTGAGCTGCTAAATGTCAAGTCAGTCAGTGTTTGTCGAGGTAAAAACCTCCCGACAAGCTCTTTTTGAAAGTTGATGGGTTTTTTAAAAAGAAATTTGAGGAGTGAAGTGGAAAGAGCTGTATATGTGTGTATGTAGATGTCAGATATTTCCATCCCTCTTTCTATATAGTCTTCTCTACTTTCACCTCCTTTCTATCAAAAAGATAAATGTTTTTCTGTTTTATTTTTTGTATTTTTCGTTCAGTTTAGATTTGTCACTTGTCTTAAGATGAGTGTCATTCTTGGAATTGGTCTGAACTCATGGTAGCTCCAAGTCAAAAGAGGGCTGAATTCGGTCATCTCTGTAGCCTCACAGAAATGCATACAAACACTCGTAGTTTGGAGCCAGATAACTGTCAAAGAGCTGCCACAGCATCCTGTTATTTGGTTGTGACTACTGGCAAGCAGGTCACTAAAATTCAGTAATAAACTCTGAAGCAGCTTGTTGTTGAACTTAGTTCCAGGCTTGACAGAAAAGAGTGCCACACACCTGCAGAGCCATCCTTGAGGGAAGAGCTGCCAGCTTGAGAACTATATTTTTCTGAAGTATATATTTTCTTTGCTCCACATCTCAGAGTGGTTTTTATTTCTGTATTAGTTTGTTTGGAACTCCTGAGTGTCCTCTTTTTTATCTGAAGGTCCAGCTGCAGAAACACCCGTTTAGAAAGGCATTAGCTAGGATATCAGCATTGCGAAGGAGATTATGATGCAACCAGAGAAAACCGAATGGATTTTTAAATCAATAAAGGCTAGATATTCTGGGCTGTTGCTTCCTATATTAAACATTCAATTGCTCTGCAGAGACATTATTATGACGATGATCCATTGATGTTTATCGAGCTGTTTTTGTGATGGTGAAGAGCAAAATCTGTGCCTCAGTGTTGTGGAGGTTATATCCATGGTAAAAACCAGAGTTTACATCAATCATAATGAAAAATACAGCAGAAACACCAGATTCAAGCTTATGCACTGCTGAATTTGATAATCAATGACAGCCAAATTAAATCAGTCATTTTTATTTTTTGCTGACATCCCAGCTCAGAGATAGGATCTGTACGGCTAAGTTAAAGATTAGTTTAAAAAGAGGGCTAATAAGCTCTATTAAAATAAGCAGTTATTTAGAAAAGGAAGGAATTGGATAGCTCTCATGGCTGAGATTGAGGTTTCGTGTGTTGGCCCGTTTCTGTTGTATTGGGGTTCAGACATCCCTTTGGATACAAATGAAACCGTGCCACAGCACTCGAGATGAAAATTTTACACGATTCACACCTGCTCAGAATTAGGACAATCACGTCTGTCTTATGTTCATTTCTTACAGAAGCTGCTTTTGTGTTCTATTTACACGGCCAGGTGTTCTGATTGTATTATTCCTTCATTTATTTTACTTTCCTTTATCTTCACTTGTTAGTTTCTTTGTTTAGTATTTTCCATTCGGATGGTGGATGCATGGGCAGAAATGTGTACATGCACAAAAGCTACTTAATGCACAGAAAACGAAGAGCTTACAACTCTTTGGGGAAAAAGTCCAATAAAGAGAAGCCACGATGTAAGCATCACTATGATAATGCAGACTTATTCAGCTGTCGGGCATTGTGTGTCTCCTAAATTGGATCAGCTAGACTAATACTTTTTTTATTGTCATAGTAGACAGTTACATAAACACATACACAGTATCAAAATACTTGGACTGGGGGCTAAAGACATTGTTGAACAAACATAGTTATAGCTTTAGTTGACTACTTATTATCCATTGTTAAGTACTGTTGCATCGGACAGATCTTTTCTCAAATGACCAAATCTTTTCCATCCTCGCCTGCATGCATGTTAAGACTGAAATAAATAATAGTGGGGCCAAGCTAATTATTTTTTGCAATTTTTTAATTCCCTTCCATGCAGATAAAATAGTAATTTTGTGACTATTATTGTGTGTTTCTTGTATGTTTTATTATTCAGGTCAAACCTTAATAGCTGGTGAGGCTCCACCTCAATCCTCCAACCAACATGAGGTCCAGTTGAAGTTCCTGCTCACAGGCCTGTTGTCTGGTCTGCCACTTCCACCGTTTGCCATTCGCATGTGTCCACCTCTGACTACCAAAAACATCAACCACTACCAGCCTCTGTTGGCTGCAGGTAAGTGATGATGCATCGGGTACACACATCCATACACTAACTCTTACCGTTTTATGAAGAGAACAGCTTGGTAGGATTGATACTTCCGATCCCAAATTATGCATCTTTTGCACAAAATAATGCCAATTTTTATATAGTTTTCCGTTTGTAATTACATTTGAAAAAATCTGTATGAATTCATTAATTGTCTTTTATAAATATATAGCCTTGGTTTCAGTATACTTTGAGAGCAGAGTCTCTAAAACGTGACCTGCAAAAGAATGATTTCAGGATTTTGCCCTCAGGCTGAGTGGTGCATCCTCCTCAGCCAATCATTATAACCACTGGTCCGCGCTTTAAAAGGTCCCAAAGTAAAACCTCTTAAAGAATGGCGAACCACTAAAACTGAACCGCCGTTCGCTGGAGGCTGTTTGAAGCAGAAGAAACACAGCCGGGAGAACAAATGTCAGTGATTGACATTGCAGCTACAGAGATCACTGCCAGCCTCCTCTGTCCAATTCATCCTCAGTCCACAAATTGGTGTTATCCAACCTATAAACGAATTGCAGCTGCTGCTTTTGCTTCTGCTTTGTGGTTATGGTTTTTATTTGGACTGTCGACCCTCTATGGGTTTGTTTCCATGAAAATGGTGACGCTGATTTAGATGAGCTCTAAACTCGACAAAACTCTGAAGACCACAGAGCATCAATTAAAATGTGCAGCTGTAGCTGCACATTTTAATTCATCCCTGTTTTTATCCCTTCGGGTTTTCTTTGTTTGAATGAACAATAAAGCACTGATTTGTTTGGTACCAAGATTCTCACTGGTGGGCATAACATTCAAAGCTTAAGAAAGCCAAAGAATTGGACTCTAACTAATGACCGCCAGTAAAAGAGGGACGGAACTGCATTGACAACATAATGGAAGTGATTTTGGGTCATGACTTGGTTTAAGGTTAAGAATGAGGCTAGAGTTTTAGGTTTACTGTAAAGGTTGGGCCGAGGCACACAGCAGTAATGGTTTCAGTTTGAGTGCCCTTACTCTAGCATGGGCTTTCGGGGGAGCACTCTGATCATCATTTGATGAGCATCATGAGGAAATATAATAAAATGCACATGCCAGCATTTCTGAATATATGGCTTTCAATTTGAGTCTTTTGCATAAAGTAGCATGCAATCAAATCTGAGCAAGCGATGCAGAGGCCACAGATTTAATCTACAATATGAGCCTTCTTTATTATATGCCTCAAACAGCCGCTAGGCAAAGAAGACAGGAGGGGGGGCAGTGGAAGGGTGAATATATTGGTCTCAGATCAGCATAGCTATTTTCCTCTTAATATTATTTCCCCTCAAAGTAAGGATGCAGAAAATTGATTCTCAACTTCACATGAAATTTAAGAGCAGAAATGTGTTTGCCGTAGTTTTGGGTTTGTGTGTTGTTTTATTTGCCGCGCACATGTGTGCGCGTTGAGGCTTTGCGTTGAAAGCCCGGGTGCAACGCTCCTCATATGGTAAAGCGTCAGTTAAGTTGTCAAGCTGAAAAATGGGACTCTCTTAGTCCCCTGACACAGCCCACATAAATGAATCACACTTCCAAGATACATTGCCTCCCTCAAACATACAGACGGCAGATGAGTTATCGCATCCATTTCCCCGACACATCTGACATCTGTTCTCACCTGCCCGATCCACGCATCACATGCTCTGAGTGTGTGCTATTAGCTGGATTGTCTCATCCCTTCCCAAAAAGTAAAAGGAAGAATAAATAAATAAAAAGACCCTGAAGGCCTGTCCTCTTCTTTTAGTCAATCGGTGTGATCCTGGAGCGGGCGGGACCCCACCGTGCTGCAGATGGTGTGGGGCTCCGCCTGGCACAGCTGGTTCTCAGAGGTGTTCTTAAGCCAAAATTAGAATGTAACGATTTAGTTTGCTCTGCACATCCCTTGCAAAGTCCCCGTAGTTATCTTTAAGAAACAAGTAGTTGAATACTCTCCAGCCGCATAATGGTAATAAGCCTTTTGTTCCACTTTCCATGAATCGGCTTGTGAATAGGAAGTTTGAAAGCCTAGGTAATTACAAAGTCTATTTAAACATCTGACATGTTCTCTGTTAAGAAGTGGAAGCAATGTCCATGGTGCTCAAAAGCTTTATCTTCAGGTAGAAGGATTACCCTCTCAAGGGTAATTTCTAACCTTTATGGAGCTGTAAATTGGCTCACATATCACTGGTAAATCCGGGAATCTTTTGTGTATGTGCGTTCTTTGTTTATCCTTACACTTTTTCATCAGATCAAGCCGAAATTTGTCTCCTGCTGGACACCTGCGTGAGCTCGCATTGTCCTTTTTTAAAGAATGTTTCATTTCACGGAGCACAAGTTACAGCCTTGTTTTTTTCCACAGTTGGGGTCTGTGCACAGAAGTAGCAGGAAAGTTTGAGTTTTAAATCGTTAATTAAATCCCAATCATGAATCTCTCACCAAAGATCTATCTATTGTCTACCTAAATAATCCATATCCACTGCACACAATGCTTATTCTTTACTTTGAAACAACATGCTTTGGTTTCCATCCAGGGAGTACACACACACACACACAGAGGGCTTTAAGCTGCAGTGTTTTTACTTATGACTGCCCATGCAATATCTGCCTCCACTATAATGACGTGGCTGGGGTTGATACTTTTACAGGAACAAAACAATCACCACATCCCAACAAGTTTAAAAGAGTAATATTGACTATCGGGGACCCATGGGATCCACACATTTAGACTCCCATTTCACACAGTGAACTACAAAGGAAGCCACCTTTGACTGCTTACCTCCCCACTTCCACTTCTGAACATATAGCCAGTGCTTTGATGATGAAATTCCTCTTGTGTTAAAGACTTGGACTCACATGTTGCAGCTTTGCTGTCTCTGACTCACTATGCTCAACACATGAGCTTAAAGAAGCTGGTTTCCATACCCCTGCTGACTCCTCTTCTGAATGATTTATTATTTATTCTTTTATATTTGCTTGTGTGACATCAGTACTCTGTTGTGCTATTTGGATCAGAAAGCAGAAATACGTGATGATTTGTAATTGCCTGCCTGCTTCCATGAAGGGCACCAGCCATAGATATAACGATGGGTTTTTACTCCAAGCTCCTTGTACCTGGTAAATTGAATATCTGTGAGACAAACCATCCACAGAATAATCTGTCAAAATAACTGGTTTGCAATTTGCATTTTCATTTTGTCCAGACTTTGTTCATTTTATCATTAAGGCAGCCTTAGATTGTTGAGTTCTGCTTGAAAATCAGTCTAGTAGCAGTCTTTGGACAGACTCTGTACTTGAGCATATTTAGAAAATATTTAAACATTATATTTACATTTTTATAGATGAATACTTTGAATGTCTGAAGTCTTTTACCTATCTTTTCTGGTGGTCTGCTCTTTAGGCCACACCACCCTGTTTTCTGTGAGGTATTTGGCTCAAAGCGCACAATGATATAACATGATATCGTAGTTTTGAATAAGAACATTATTAAGTAAAAAAATGGGTTAAACAATCAGGAGTTGGACATTGTTAAAAAACTGGGGTAAAAAAGAAAGAAAAGCCTTCAACGTTGTGACATTTTGTTGTTTTTCACGAGTCTTAGTTTGGAAACTCTACAGGCGTTAAAAAATAACTCATGAGTAGAGTTTGACTACGCATCTTTGGTCGTTACAGTGTCAACATATTTAAATAAAACATCACTCTGTCAAGCCTTCACAGTTTCTCACCGAGTCAGATGTCACATGCAGAATTGAATCGGGTTATATTCGGGAATAGATGGAGCTTGCACGCCATTTCCAACGACAAATCAAATCGCGCAGTGTCCTCAGACGGTGAGCTAAATGTCACAGAGCCCGATGTGCTGCATTTCCACAGACCTTTCTGCCGTGACAGGAAACGCACCGGGGTGTCACAGCGAAACGTTGTCTCTCTGATCCCGCTGAGGGCGGGAGGCTGCTAACATCAGTAACTGCATGACTCCTGTCCTCTTGTGTGCGGCTCACAGGCCTCATGTGCATCCTCTTTTTCTGTCTCCTCAGGCACCAGCACCGGCTCTGTACTGGTCTACAACCTGACCAGTGGTCTCCTGCACAAAGAGCTCAGTGTTCATTCTTGTGAAGTCAGGTAAACTCATTTCTTTCCCCTTGAGCAGGTAATTATGTACAGTGCACTCTCATTGTACTTGGTAGGTGTTGTATTTGGTTGACAGCATGTTGGATAATCCCCAGCGGACTGCCAGCTTGCGGTGGATTGATTTTTCTATTTAGTGTTTCCAGCATCATTAGAGTTTCTGGAGGAAGTTACCAATCATACGATGTGTGTGATGTGCTGCCTCTCAGATGTTAAATAGAAACCAGAAAGAGCTGTTCCTGCGAAGCAGCTGTGAGAATGCCGAGCTGCCGAATGAATGTAGCAGAAGATGCTCAAGAAACTAAAAAATGTAGCAACGGTTTGCTAAGGAGCAGATTCAAATGTGGCAGGCAGTAATCTGAGAGTTTAAGAACAATAGCCGGAGAATCTGAAGATTTTGAAAATAAGCTGAAGAGCGGAAGAGCAGTCCGTGCAGCACCATTTAAAGACAATAAGATGAAAAGGTCAAGGGAATAATCAAAATACTGTCGATCTGCTGAGTGAGTGCAGCACAGAATGCTGAAGGGTGGCCTTATGCTCGGATGTTTTTCCCCATCCAAACACACTGCTAAGGCACTTTTCCACTGACCTGGCAAACTCCCACCTTTTCCCACTCCCAGGTTATACAAAAGGACGAGCCCTAGCCAAGTGAAAAATCTAAACATTGATTGAGCAGTGAAGGAACCAGAAAACTCTTATCTCTATACCCACCGAGCCAGCCACTGGGGGACTTGACCTTGATTGCTTTTCACTCAATAAGAAACCGAATTGCGAGTTTTTGAGGCTGCAAAATCTTCCCCTTAGATGTCTTTAAAAAATTAAATCAGCTCAGTGTGCTGTTCTCATCAGTCCGGTTATTCAGCCTGAGATTCTCCTCGTTAGGGGCAACTTTTTACTGTGTGTTTCTTGTTCTGTTGTATGTATTTATTTCAGCACAGTTAGCTTTTCAAATGGTATGAGTTATTGCTGTGAGCTCACTGTTAAATCTGAAAAAATCCGGTTTGTGAACAACAAAACTTCTAGAGTTTCAGTGCCATATGCGGACTGATCCTGTAGGATGCTGCACGAATTTAAAGCAACAGAACTATATGGTTAGAACTTATTTTGAATCACCTGGACTTAAGTTCAGATCAGCATCACTGAGACAAATGGACAGAGACCAAAAGAAAATGGAACAACAGCCAAAGAAAAACTTTGCCCTTACACATATTGAGCATTCAAGTTCATGAAAAATAGTACAGACCTATACTGTAATTTCATGTGTATAGTTCTTAAGTCAGATGAACGCAAATACTGATGATTTTTTCTGAGCACCCACAAAAGCAAGTTGGGCTTAATTAATTTGATAAACAGCAAACCCTTCTCACAATAATTCATTAGGCATAAAACTGAAACAGCTCAAGCTGTTAAAAGACTGATTGGGGGAAAACATCCTCCATTCAAGCTGAGCCAGACATATTGTAAAAAGAGTCGAGAACCACAAACACAGACAGGCTCAGACAGGCTTTAATGAACTTTGCTTTTATTACACTGTACAAAAAAATCCACATTCCATGATAAGCAAATCACAGTGAATGCAAATGTGGGAATAAGACTACATTTAGTCATAAAAGATCCCACCCGACTGGATAGTTACACCAATTTGCCATAGAGCTGTTGGATTAAAGCTTGCACTCGAAAGAACCCTCATAAAATCTTATCCACTTCCTGCTGTTCAAAATGTGAATGTAAGGCGCTCTGGTAATGAACTGGGCAGCCCTTGCCCCTGTGCAGCCATGCCAGAGGAGTCTGGGCTGCTTAGCATCTCATTTGCATTTAGTGGGGATATCGACTAATTAATCATGTGGCTATTTACCATCCCATTACAGTGGAGGTTATGTGCTCTGTCAGCTGAGCTAGTTTTCCCCAAAATACTCCTTCCTCACACTCACTAGTTTATTCTGTGCATTTTAAAACCTCTCCAGTGGAGTATGTGGAAGTTTTAGGGTTCATCTTTAAACTTACTCCTACGGTTCATCTATGGAGGATTATTTGACAGCTGTGTGCCGTGTATTACAAAGCAGTGTTATTTTTAACCGGCAACCGTGTGTATGTGTGTGGGGTTTTGTTCTGCAGGGGCATTGAATGGATTAGTCTCACCAGTTTCCTGTCTTTTGCCACCTCTGCTCCCAACAATATGGGCCTGGTGCGAAACGAAGTGCAGCATGTCGACCTGCCTACAGGTGATACTCTCTCTCACACACACACACACACACACACACACACACACACACACACACCCTCGTCACTGCTTTAACTTTTGTTCCGTCCTTGAGGTTTCAGTGATAGCGTCCTCTACTCTTTACAACAATTTGAGTCTCTCTCGCTCTCGGATTTAGTCTTTCATTTCATCTTTTTAGTCTATACATGTCTTAAAGAGACCCTTATTTCGCTGCTCCAGCAGAAACTAATTCAAAGTCTGAGGGTGAGGGTAACTCTGAGAGAATTGTAGTTCTGAAAATGAGAATGTATTTATGGCCCTTTCCAGGAGGTACAAGCAAAAGGTTATTTCTTCTCTGTGCTAAAGACAGACATTTCTAAGTAATATAATATTTGAGTAAGTTATCAGAAAATATCAAATATTTTTATTTGCTTTTCCAGGATTGATTTGTGTTTGATTTGTCATTTTTACAAACCTATTCTGTTTTAGTGTGGCAAGCTGGATCATATGTCATTGTCACCGTAGTCATTCTGGTTCTATAATGGTTTGGCTTCATTAGAATAAAACTGCGGTGGGTTATTTCTGCAGCAGAAAATCTGCCATCCCACAGCACAAGCTTTCGTCAACACCAGAACTGGCGTTTCTTCTTTTTTTTGTTTTTTTCTTCCGTCATTCATCAAGAGTTAAAGTGACTGACATCGTTCAAAGTGATCTAGACAGGAAATGTAGCCACCTGCTGATCAGACAGACGGGAGGCCTCAGTGTCCAGGCTCACATCTATGGAGCATGCACAAGTGCCTGCTAGGTTTGAGAGACAACATTTAAGGTTAGACTTTTTTGTTTTTCTGTTAAGTGGAAAAGATCAATATCGGTTTAATCTCACTCTTTTCAGCACAGAAAAGTAATTGCTTTGGGATGTGTTTAGTCTTGCATAGCTCTGGATGGAAAAATGGAAGCAGGGGTAGGCAGCTCCTGGCAGCTTTCAGCAGCTTCCCAGGCTTCTTTTTAAAAGGAAAAAGCACTTGCATAAATAGAGCCGAGACGCAATAGTGGAATAAGAATCTGGTAATGATGCTTTTTACATACAGAGGCAATCTGTTTTCCTGTGTGAAATATATTTAGCCTACCAAGCTACAAATGTGTTCTCTAAAAATTGTATGTTTACAGCGTCTAAGATTAAGTATGTCTAAAAAATGCTGTGGCTATAATTTAATGTGAACATTCTGTTAGTTTAATTTATGTTTTGGTTCTGACCTTATGAACACTTTTACCTTGCTTATCAAAATAGAATGTAGTTTTTTTTATTAGAAAGTCCCCAACACATGGCATAAGACAAATACGCCAGGCACACCATGCCCTTTACAGCTAATTTGGTTTCTGATAAGATTGAAGACTCATCTTTCCAACTTGACTAACACATTTGGGGTTATTTTTAGCTTTAACAGAAGTTATTGCAGCAACGCTGAGGAGAGGTGTTAATCTGTGTAATGATTTTTTTTTCGATTGCTTGATCCTGTATAGTTTGTGCAATGTTTTTTTTAATCCTATACATCAGTACTTTGTTTCACAAAAGCTAATAGAAGACAAATCAAAGGTTAAAAGTTTTTGTTGCTTGATGGCAGCATCACGTCTCAGAAAAGGTTACAGTTTGCACAGCCTCTCAATTTTTTTTAATCAGTCTTGCTCTATGGAAAGACATATCAACGCACTATTCCCACTTATACAATCCCCAGTCTTGTTCAACTCATTACTTAGAATGGCCTTTCTAAGAAGCATCAATACTTTATGAAAAGCACAAAGTTCTGATTATGTCTGAGAGAGAAAGAATAAGTACCATCCTCATTACCATACAGTTCTGGCAGCACCATGGGCCTGGAGAGTGGTGATCTGAAGTGTGAGATGCCTTGATTGACACTTTGTAATCAGGACACATGACCACCCCCACTGTGTGAGAGGGAGGAAATGAGCTCTTCATTAGCCTTGCGTGCACCACAGGTCTCCAAAATCTCCCTTCTCCCATATGTTAAACTATTCTCTCCCCTCTGGTGTCCTCAACGGCCGTCATCAGCAAAACTGTGTAGGTCACTTCCATTCTAAGCTGCCGGTGACAGGTGGATGACTCGTACATGTTAAACAGGCCTCTTTCCCAGTTATCCTTCACGAAATCGAGGCACGTGCGATCCCGTGCACCTGAAGGGCGTTCTTGTTTTGTTGTAAGGACCCCCTTGATGCTCTGCATAATTCTGGCTCTCCAAGGTAGAAAGTTGCAGGTGGAAAGAGGAACATTTCAGCAGGTGGTGAGAATGAGCTGCAGATTTTAATTTTTTTCTCTTGGCTCTGGCAGCCGAAAAACCAGGACAAGCTGACAGTAAAAGAAACTTCTCTGAGGCGTGACCAAACGCTCCTTTTTTGTCCTCCATCGACACCGATCATATCTTTCACAACCTCTTTTCCTCTGTCGTGTTTTGCAGGCAGATGCTTTGCATTTAGGGGCGAGCGAGGAAATGACGAGCCGCCCATCGATATGATCAAAGTGTCTCATCTTAAGTAAGCTTCCACCCATTTCCACCATCAGCTAAGTCTGTCCGTTGAAACTGTAGAATTTGGGTTTTAATTATAATACGCAGACTTTATATCACAGACCCAATGCCTGTAGCCCTATCTTCCCTTATTAGAAAAATTATCAAGGTTTTCCCGTCTTAACTCTTTAAGATCAATATTTTATGGAAAGCTTTGTGCATACACTTAGAACAAGATCTGGTGAATATGAAATTACATGTGGTGTTATTTTGCTGACATTCTACTCAAACTGTCTGCTTGGTTTTCAATGTTAACAAAAGCACAAGCCATGGCAGTTTAAATTCCATACATGATATCACATTGCACTGATTTTTCATGGCATTGTTGCTTTGCTTGATATTTTCTGGTTGGGAATCCACACCTTTTGCCTCACAAACCCAGCCTTGAATCATTGATCACGCTGTCATTTTTTGTCATGTCAGTTAGATATGAAACTCAACACATTCACCACCTTTAGAATGCATCAAATGTCTGGTGTTTCGTTTGAGGCTGAACGTGGCATTGTGTTTTTCACTGTCAGGCAGTACTTGGTGGTGGTGTTCAGAGACAAACCCCTGGAGCTATGGGACATCAGGACGGGAACGCTTCTCCGGGAGATGGCTAAGAACTTCCCCACCGTCACTGCTCTGGTAACGGCACACTGATAAAGCAGGAGAAACACCCCAAATATGACTGGAAGTGGTGAACTGATATAAAGCAATTAGAAAAGAAAATGTGTTTTTGCTTATCTATATTTCCTGTGACATGTCAAATTGGAGCTGTTTCTTTGCTTTTATTTGATGCCTCACTGTGAGAGCTCTTCCCGTGTGACCTCATCAGAGGCTTAAGTACAGTTACATCATTTCTGAGTAATTGATGTTGAAGTGGGCCTCTAATGAGGGACCTCTGAATATGGATTGTACATGCGTAGCCTCACTTGTCATTCAAAAACCATGTCTCTCACAGGAGCATATCAATGACCAGGTTATTGGATAATAAGCCTATCTCTGGTGTTGGAGAGGGGTTGCACAGCCCCATTACGAAGAGGAAGTAGTATCTTCTACAGCTTTTCATTGATATTTGAGGCAAAGCAGTCAATATAGGGGAAAGCAACGGAAACATGTATCATCCCATGACACCTCAGGAAATAGCTGTTTGGCTATTATTTCCTTTATACTAGGACCTGCACCAGCAGGAACATTTAGACGTCGATTACAGTAGCTAACAATCACACTCCATAACAACTGTAGTGAAGTAAAGAAAAGCTTTAAAATACATTTAAAAAAAGCAACTGATACACTCAACCTGTGAGTAACCAGCTGGTCAGCCCCCTCTTCCTCAGAGAGTCTGCACAGGCTGCAGTGAACAAAACACTGGGTCCACAGCAACGGATCCTAATCATTCAAAAGGAATTGGAGAGCGTGTCCAAACCTTTCACTGATACTGCATCGGAGATCTGGAGGAGATGCAAAAATCTAGTTCCGCTATTTGGTCTTTAAATGAGTCTTTAACTGGCCATTCATTCAAACCAAAGCGCCAGTCATATTCACGAAGTCAGGTTTACATATTGACGTTGATTAGGTCTTGGACCCAATTTAATAGAAGCACTTATAATTGAGGCCTGATGAAGTCAGTTTTACTATGTATATAGATTCTAAGCACCAGCACTCAAGTACAAGAAATAAATCTAGATAATCACATAATATAACAGCAAATGGTCCTCACTTTAAGTATGCTGCATTTTACTTTGGCTCTGTTCCACAAAGTGCCTCTCTGTGTGTCCGAGTTTTCCAATAGCACACAAATAGTAAGTAGCGTGTTCAGACCCGTTCTGGAGCTCAGGCACAACAACCTCCAAAATGACTTGCAGGAAAATATGTTGTTTTATTATTCTAATGAGAAAAGCGGGTGCATTTTACAACGGGAGCCTTCTTCAGTCAGAGATAGCGTTATCATCAGTATATTTGTACTTTTAGCAACTTTTTTTTTTTTAATGCTCCCTTTAGCAACTTCCTCCACTTTTTTACGTCTTCCTTGCTTTCAGTTTCTATGGGCCATTCGAACGATAAGCCTTGAAAATTTCTTCAACCTCAGCAAAGAGGCTTCATTAGGCCAGAGAAAGACTCGTAAAAAAGAGAGTTATACTGGACAAACTTTACTGCTGGGCCATAAAATATTCAACAGTGCGAATAAAATGAGCATTAAACTTAATACATGCATACCTCCCCCTATCCTTCATCGGTGTCTCCGTTTTCACATTGATTGCCACCTCAGGTCAGCCATACTACAGCAAAAGTTCTTTGGCACCTTAACAGGAAGAATGCTTTTTTTGTTGTTTTTAATGTTTTTTTTATGAGCATCCTTTGCTCCTTTCCTCTGGTGTTAGGTTTATATTTGCTGCAAATGGTGCTGTTTAGTCAGCGATTGTGTCTGTATTTGTCCCTGTAACTGTGCCGTGTTTCAACAGGAATGGTCCCCCTCCCACAATCTGAAGAGTCTGAAGAAAAAGCAGATGGCAGCGAGGGAGGCCATGGCTCGGCAGACGGTGTCAGATGCCGAACAGAGTAGCGTTGAATCCTCAGTCATCAGGTTCAACATTTTTAATCAGCACTATTTTCTTATTTCCTCAGATCTTTCCATTTTTCAATTTTTTTCAGATTTACTGAAATATCCAATTTATATAGGAATTCAGTTGTGTCTTACAGTCATACAATGCAATAATATATTTTGGTTTTAAAACGCCATTTACAGACTAATGTCACAAAGTGTTGTTACAGAGAGGGAACCATAGACTACATCAGTTGAATAATGCAGTAATATTCACCTTCCTTTCTTGAAAGCCGAGTGGAAACAGAGTTGGGAATTTCATCCAGTTTAATTTAATTCAGTTTTTAAAATTCTCAGTCAACAAGTTGGAACAATTACGGGAGAGATTGCTACCAGATCAAATGATTGGACGGAATCTAATTATTTTGTAATTATGTACAATCTTCGTTAAAGTCATAATGGTCAGGCTGTAGAAACATGTCAGGGACCACCAATGGTTTTCTTTTAAATATCATATGTTATTTTTTTAAACTATATCAATAATTGATCATCAGCCTGCCCAGATTTTCTTTAGCCATAGCTGCTTGGGTTTAACTGGACTTAATAACAGAGCTTTAGGCCTATCAGTGGCAACTGTTTCACAAAAACGATCTGGCAGGTTAATGTAAAAAAAACATATATTCCACCCCTTCCCCCTGCAGTCTCCTTCAAGATGCAGAAAGCAAGTCAGAGACGAGCCAGGGCATCTCAGCCAGGGAGCACTTTGTGTTCACAGACACAGACGGCCAGGTTTACCATATCACTGTCGAGGGCAATACCGTCAAAGATGGAGCCCGGATTCCCCCTGATGTGAGTCTGTTTATATTAAATGTCTTTGTTTGTGCACACTTTATCTGTGTAAAGTTCCCCCATGCCGATGCCTGCTCAAAACTTTTTCACCTACTTGAGATAATTCCCTTTATACTCAATTACTGTGTTAATCCCTTTGCTGCACAAAAACCTTATTCTGTTTTTCTTTTTTATCCTGTTCCTGTCTGATGTCTCTTGGCCGATGTTTATATTTATCCATGTTTTTTTCTTGTTAAAACTGCTTATCAGCTCTTTCTATCGAACTCGTAACCCACACTGCCCTGTATACTGTACTTCACCTTCAATCACCGCTCCACATCCATCACCATGCAGTCAGTTTTAACAAGATTGATAGCTACATCTTCCTCTGCATTTTCTGTCTTGGCAAATAATTGTGGTATTGCTTCTCTTATAATTCAAGGAAAATCATCTAATAAACTATCCTCTCATCTGCATTGCGCAATTTTAGACTCAGCCTTGCGTTCAAAGAAAGCAGGTTTCCTCCACCCTAAAGTGAAAGCCATCATTCCCTTTCTGTGTCGGGGTCTTAAAGATATTACCCTCAGAACACAATTTGACCAATAATAATCAGTGCCACAGTTATACATGTACATTTGGTTTATTTTTTCTATCTTTTTAGAGAAGAAAGAAACATTCAAGCAATTTTTTTCTTTCTTTTTTTTTAACCGTCAGCTTGTCCTAGATAGTGTTTTGCACATGTCTAACCGGCTGATCTAGAATGTTATTCAGGCTTTTGGGAGGAGAAGCTGTTGCATCATTTACTTCAGGAGAACAGAAACAGTTGCCTAGCCATTAATTTATCTTGACAGTAAAAGAACCTGACAGGTAAACAAACACCATTACAAAAGGCAGGGGCTGTTCTTCTCTTGTTTATATATATATATATATATATTATACTAGTAAGATGCTACAATTATGAGTCAAGCTTCACCACAACAAAAAAAGCCCATTAACTTTAGATTAAGACTCAGATAAACATTTATTTGCCTGTGCATCCTAATGTCTGTGCTGTTGTTTCAAAAGTCTGCATGAAACTTTGTCCCCTAACTTTGTTGAGCTGAATCAGTCCTTGCTAAAGGGTCCACCATCTGTTGTGTGCTGTTAAAGTAATTGAGGTCTGTTTCCTTCTACCATTGTTTATGTATGTGCATTAAACTATGTAATTCATCTTGTTCAGTACAGTAATATTAAAGAAAGCCCATCGACTTCTTTTGGGAGTGCATGTTTTGCCGGTTCACTGCCTGCACCCTCCCACAATGCAGGCTTTCAAGGTTTACCGGTGGATTTGAAAGCCTTATATCTTTGTGACGGGCACCGATTTATGTCTCGAATGTTTGCATGCTTCAAAGGTTTTACAGCGCTTTCAGGATGATAAAAGTTCTTCATGTCACTATCAGAAAAGTGACAGAATTTCTGCTGAAAAGTTTTAAGTTTCACACGCTGTGGGTGAGCTGGCACTTAATGTCTTCACATCAGCATTCTGTCTGCAGGCACAGCCGAGCCACACTTGAAGCCAGATGCCGAACGTGTTTACCACTCAGCTGCCAGAGATATTTCAGTTTCAATTTACCGTCTTGTTTACATTCGCGCTCAAACATAAAATTCCGGCGAGCAGATGGATAAGGATGGGTTTTATGCGGCGAGAATTGCTTATTTTTCATCATGAAGGGGATGGATGCTCTAAAGACATGACATGTAAACAGTGCCATCATTTTTCATGATGCGCGTCTCGTGTTATATGGAGTATATCCTCAGACTGCTGGCCTGAGGTTTCATGAATGTCAGACAGAAGGATATCTCGGCACTCATGGGGCTACCAGCTATAGCTGCTCAGAAGTAAAGCCAGTTGATGGGAACTCTGAAAGCTTTGTTTTTTTGTGGATATCAAAAGAAAACTCAGCCAAGAAGGATGAATAAATCAACATCTGCTCTAAAACGGTTTAAATCACTTACTTGACCTAGTTATACATTTCTAAGCTGTCAACACTTATGCTTTTCTTCCAATCCACATTTTCCCCCCAAAAAACCTTTGCTTTCTCCTTTCGTGCAGGGAAGCATGGGTAGTATCGCCTGCATTGCGTGGAAAGGTGACACCCTGGTGCTCGGAGATGTGGACGGCAATCTGAACTTCTGGGACCTCAAAGCTCGTTTGTCAAGGTGAGGTTGTTTGGAGCTACAGCATCTGAATTGTTGGACACAACAGGGCTGTTTGATGACTGGATGTGGATTCCAGGACGTTGTGATTGATCAGTTGAGTGAATAATTAGCCGGCTGTTGAATCAGTGAAGATAATCACCTTTAAGATGCGGTTTTTAGGTTCCGCTCTCAAATGTATCCAGTAATGAAACTGGGTAGAGTCTTAACGCCAGTACACAATGTTATTAGGACTCAATCAACCCTGTGAAGTCTGTCATAATCAGTGCTTACAGCGTGTTGATTACACCGTGTGATGATTAGAAAGTAGAGCTAAAATGCCTAATTTTTGCTGCTTAATCCACTCTTTTGCTAAGAAGTCACATATCGTCTGAATGCAAATTTATCTTCAAAAGCCAACTGAGTGTTTTCTGAGTTGTGAAACATTATATTTGTAGCTGGGTTTATGAACTTTTTTCTTTCAATTTAATTTCAAGGAACCCTCCTTTAATTTTTTAAAGCAGGGTTTTATTTGCTTCATTTTGCTTTGCACTATTATAACATAGGCCCAATGGCCATCTAAGCAGGAGCATGCATTTATTTGTTATCAATGACCATTAAGATACCAAAAACAAACTGTGAATGAAGAGTGTGGATCATTTATAGTGCATTCCCTTATCTGATCATTTATTTACATTGAAAACATGCTATCAAGCAGAGGCTTGTTCTGCAGTCTCGTGATTCACATCATGCTAAAGCTATCTGCAGGACTGTGTGTACATTTTTTTTGTGTAATTGACACATGCCAGACCGAGCGAGCTAAGAGCTGCGTCACTGTGTATGTGCACACATCAAACTAGTTAATTGATTTTTCATTGGTCCAGTTTTGAAAAGGCCTTTGTAAGTTCTGTTAAAGAGCAACTCTTCATGGCTGTTTTATTATTCATGTATTTTAAAGTATTACTACATAGTTATATTTTATTCACAATTTAATGTGTCAAAAAAAACAAAGTCAGCATGCCAGTTAATGGCAAAAGCAAGAGTAGTGCTCCATGAATAACCAACGACGCTGGCACTTTCAGAGGAATACCAACGCACCGTGGCTGGGTTAAGAAGATCCGCTTTGCCCCTGGAAAGGGCAACCAAAAGTTGCTGGTCATGTACACGGACGGGGCAGAGGTCTGGGACACCAAAGAGGTGAGGCTCCACACTCGTGACTTAAATGCTGTTGTGACTGCTAGGCAAGGCAAGGCAAGTTTATTTGTATAGCACATTTCGTGTACAAGACAATTCAAAGTGCTTCACAAAGAATTTTAAAGCCGAAAAACAAAGCAAGAAAAAGAATCAACAAAATAAATTGGATAGATAAAAAGTGAAGCTGTCTTAGCTCGTTTAGAGAGCCGTTACAGTAGTCCAACCTGCTAGAGACAAATGAATGGATTAGTGTTTTGAGGTCTGGTTTAGACATTATTCCTCTGATTCTGGCAATGTTTTTGAGATGGTAAAAGGCTGCTGATATTGATTTAATGTAGCTGTTAAAGCTCAGGTCTGGGTCCAGTATTACCCCAAGATTCTTGAACCCCACAGGCCCATTCGGTCTGAGACACAGTTCCCAGTTTCAACAAACTAACACCTGTCCTTGAGGTAGGACTTGAACCACTTGAAAGTTGTATCAGAGATTCCCACCCAGTCTTCTAACCTCTGTAATAAAATCCCTTGGTCCACTGTGTCAAAGGCGGCGCAGAACAAGGACCCAGACTTTGCCTGCATCTGAGTTCAGGCGGATGTCGTTTGTCACCTTGATCAGAGCCGTCTCAGTGCTGTGGTTTGATTCAATGATTGGTTCGGAGCGTGTTATAAAATCTTGTCACTGCACCGTGTAACAGAAATAAAAAAAGAAAGGAGCTGCAGCAGGTTGGTTGCAGTAGTTCACAGTGGTTTACTGTGACAGGCTCATTTGGTTTCCATGGTGCTGTATTCACTGAAGCTGTGGTAGGATGCTAAACTAATGTCCTCTCACTAAAGCTCCGCTGCAATAATGGTATCCTGTAATGGTCCTGATGTATTAAACAGTCATTACAGTGCAGCATGTAAGTATACACACAGAAGCACTACAAGTGTTTTCCACTGCAGATATGAGCCCAACTGTAACAGGATGGATGATCACGGGGCAGGAAAGCGGCATGCATCCTCTTTAACATTGTTTACCTCAACCTATCATCATTTAGAAAGCCGTGCTCGTGCAGTATTTATCTAACCTCAGTTTAGAATCCCCCTCGGCTGCTTTGCTCCCCAGTTCATCATTTGGTGTAACATAATCTACTGCACTGTGTCCATTCCACAGTATTTGTCAGCCTGCCCAGACACAATGAGCATTAAGAGTTGAAACACAGATCAATGTGAACACAGATGATTTGGTGAATTGAGGAGTGGGAGATGGAGGGAAGATTGCCCCACTGGGGCTCTACTGTGTGGGTGCTGTTCAGTCCCCAGTTGTTAAAGCTAGAAAAACAGCTGCTTGGGGAACTTAGGAGCGCTAATAGAGCAGGAAAGGGGTGAGAACAAGAGGATAGAGGGGAAAGTGTAGAGGTTTCCAAAATGTTTTGGCACCCCCATTGACAGGCAGGCCACACTGACTGCTGCCTCTTGAGAGCTGTAGAGAAGATTTAGAGAATGTCTTCTGAAAGACTGTCAGTTGACTCTGATACCGCATCCTAATGTTTTCATCATAAATGAGAGTATCCTGGTCCTTTGTGTTGTTTTTGTGCCCAATATGAAAGCATTCTTCCCTTCACCTCTTAGCTTTTGTGTTTGGATAAATAATGGTGATTTTTTTCCACCCCCTTTCTTCAAATGCTGTGAAGTTCATCCTATTAAAACAATACCGGTGAAGTTTGCCAACCTTAAAATGTCCACAAACATTAGTTTGTGTAGTTTATGTTAATGTGCTTCCAGGCAGAGATACTGCATTTCACAGCTATGGTTCCCAGCCCCAACACCACACTGTTTTAATTTACAGATGATTGATAGTTTTATTACCTTTTGATAGCATCTTTGTGGCCTCTTCAGCATTAGAAAAAAGTAATGTGTGTGTGTCTGGATGTTTGCATTCTTCTGGAAGAGATGGTGTTACAAATTTAGAGGGGAGCCAAAGACCAAAATCCAGCTAAATTCGCCAATGGTACTTTAAGCTACTCACTAACTATTACAGAGCCTAATGATAGCTGAATACATGTGAGATAATACATTTATGCACACTGATAAATGCTGACTTGTACAGAGGTAACAGTAATCTAGGCAGCAGTTCTTCAAACTTTCTCCAAATCTCACGCAGGTCCAAATGGTCAGTAGCATGCGCATTGGCCGCAATGTGAACTACCGCATTCTAGACATCGACTGGTGCACATCAGACAAGGTTGTCTTGGCATCGGATGATGGCTGTATCCGAGTTTTGGAGATGGCCATGAAGTCTGCGAGCTACCGCATGGATGAGCAAGACCTCACAGGTGAGCAAGGAAGCACAGGACAAAAAGGACGGTTACAAACAAAAAAACACAGAGGTCTTGGTTGCTCATTTTGCTGTAACACACTCTGTTGCACATGTTCTAACACGGTACTTCTGATGACTTCTGTGGGGAATATGACCAGATCCAGTGTGGTGCCCTTACCTGCTGCTGCCCCGAGCCGCCCTCACCCTCAAGACTTTCCTCCTTCTGCAGCCCTGGTCAGGAACCTTCACCATGGACATCACTCAGGTGTAAGTCTCACCGTCGAGCATGGTATTAAAGGAGCAGCTCTGGGAAACCAGCAAACACAACATACACATGAATAATACAACTTAGATAGGTGCTTCTTAAAATACTCTCCCAGCTTCTATTTTCAATGCAGTTTCATTTTGCACCTTGAGGCAGGTAGGAGTTTGATCTAATCAGGCCGAATCTGATGAAACCTCTTAGATGTTGATTTAGGAATTTATGCAATTTTTAATTATTTGGAGTTCAATGTTTAATACTCAGAGTAGATCAAATATTGAAGGTCTTCTAAGTTATAAGTCTTTTGGACTTTTTCCTTTTTTTTCTTTGACATTTAGCTAATTCTGAGTCTGTCAGTTCTCTTTTTCATCACTCGCTCACAGCTGCAACTAAGTCAGGCGTGCATTAACCGTGTGAGCCACCTGCCCCCAGCGTAAACGCTACAGAGACTTAACCTGACACAGATAGTTTCTCAGATCAAGCGAAGCCCATTTAATAGGAGGACAGGTTTTATTTGTGGAAAACATGAAAGGAGCCGTTTGACTGTCTTTGATCCCTCCCTTTCAGAGATTACAGCGAAAAAGTGGAGATAAAAGGCCTGATCCAGGAGCAGCTCAACTCGTTGTCAAAGTGAGTTGCTGCACGGTTTTTCATTTTTACCATTCCTTTTAAAACTTGTTACTTTTGGTAGTGCATATTGAAATGTTTTAGATCGGTGCAGTATTACCTGCATTTCCACACGTTTGAGTCAAGTTTGCGTTGATGCAGTTTTCAGTCTCCCATCAAAGTCCCAGGGTCTTTTATGATTAAACTGCAGTCCTAACGAGCATGTAGTCTGTGGGCTGGAGGATAAGAAGAACAGCCACACTGGACTTGCTGTGTTTGAGGAGCATAATTGGCTCTGGCTGTATTCTGATTGTGTGCCTCTGATTGGCTCCCCAGTGATATGAAGAGCGTGCTACAGGACCCAGAGCTCAGTCTTCTGCAGCGCTGCCTCCTGGTCTCACGGTGAGTTGTGGCACTGCGCGGTGTTAACACAGTTTTTGAAGTGCAGATTGCGCTGTCATGAGGGATTACCGTCACGCCTATCAGACAGTTCATGCAGACAAAGCTCGAACCAGAGTTTGTATTAACTGTGAAGTAAACGAGGAGAAATACAAAATGTAAAACACCCTCTTCCTTCTGCTCTAACTACAGATTTTAAAATGTCATATTTGATTAAACTAATAATGTATATAAAAGCCAGAAATGCATAATTAACATGAGTTAGACACCCAAGAATAAATGGATCAAAGTTGAACTGTAACTTTTGGTTAAACAGTCAAATTGGCTGCCAGAATAATAAATGAGACTCTTTGCAGGGTAAGTTTTGCGGTGTTCTGTTCCTCCACAAAACATCATGACACGAGAGCTGACGTCAGCGGTTCAGATCTCAATTCTGCTTTGGTTTTCATTTCCCCTTTGTGTCTGACAAATCTAGAACAGCCTATCTGTGCAGAAATGCAACATCTCCCTCAGTTTTTATCCTGCTATTAAAGCCATAGTTTTTTTTGTTGTTTTTTGTCTTTTTTTCTGAGCACCATTCCTATATTTCCATAGAGAGCTCATGAAGATGTCTCTGCATCTGGCTGTCCAAGCTTCCATGCCATTGTTAATGCCATAAGGTAACCTAGCAACAGCTGTGTGCCTGTGCAGTTGTTTTACCGGAGGCTGAGGAAGTAAACGATGTAAGAAGCAGCAGGAGGAGGAGAGCGAACTGAAAGAGAGGGGAGTGGGTCGGAGCATACAGGAATTGTGGTCATTAGAGAGCAGACTACTAAGAAAACCCAAATGACGTGTGAGACTGCACATTGTGACTAATTACTCTGGAGAAAGCGCCCCCTCTTTCAAATCCCGCTGATGCACTGTTGTGGGGGAAACTGCAGGCTGTTCGGGGACGAGTCTGACCTTCACTTCTGGACCGTGGCCTCCCACTACCTCCAGTCGTTTGCCCAGTCTCGTCAGCTGAGTGTGTCCGCCGCCGAGGGAAGCGAAGGAACCCACCCGCCACCACAGAACCATCTGGACATCTGCCACGATGTCCTCTGTGAGAGTTCCTACTTTCAGGTCAGTAAATTAGAGACAAAGAGGGAAATGTTTTTACACAAATGTGACAAAGATCCCAGCAGTGTCCCTTGGATAAAAAAGCCCCTACTACTACAGCCCCTCGTCACGCACATCCTCAACATAACTCCTGTCAGAAGTTCCATTAGTAACAATACTGTGTATCACACCGTTTTCCCCCAAAGGCCCTTTCAGCTTCCAGTCGTTCAGCCTGTGAGGACAAAATCATCCTTCACTTTAAACTTTACATTTAATTCCCAAAACATTTCCAGAGTCAAACGTTGTGTAACCTTCATGTGGAAACGCTCATTTATAAAGAAAGATCTCTCTCATTTGTGCTGTATCTCATATCAGCGCATCCTGCTGATGACACAGCTGTCCAAGGCTGTTAGAAACTACACTCGGAATTGTACTTTAGATTTCAAACAGTAGTGTATGATAGCGTTTACTACGAGGCCAAGAGGTTAAAGTCTAAAGAAAAAATAAGTATCATGGTAAAGGGAGGCAAAAATGCAATGATCTTATATGAGGAGGCATGGTCTCGGAAGGTTAAATTTATAATTAAACTGGATGGATAGAAAACAGAAATCCACCTACACCAGAATAACTGTATCTGAAAACTATGTTCTTAAAAGTATGATAAAGATCTACAGCAAAGATCTGACACAACACCTGAGAAATAGATCTGGCTCCTCTGTGAGTTTCATCTGTTGTTCAACAAATCTTGGTTTCAGATATGCTCTTTTTATGGAATCTTTGCTGTCAAGAAACCATTCTCTCAGAAAAAGCTGATAGATACCAAATAATACAAGAACACACCTGAAAGTCAGCAGTAGCTGATAAATGTTCCATCAGAACCCAGACATCAGCAATTCTGAAGCAGAGGTCTTGACTTGCACTACTCTGTGAAAAACAAAAGACAACATAGATCCCCCCCAAAAACTATTATTTCATATTATTCAAGAACTGAGAAATATTGTCCATAAGGAAGTTGTGTTGAAGAGTGAAATCTATCATATCCGGTATTGAATTTCCAGGTCACTGGAATGGGAAAACTCATTTTAAAGTATTCTGTTTCCATTTATGGTTTTGCATTTTTAAATAATTGCTGCACCAATTTTAATTTTTCCGAGTATTTATAAGAGATTTGTAAGAAATCAAGTGTACTGTACAGTTACATGCTTGAGTCTGGGTTTTTTTGTCCAATTTCTGTGTCTATAATTGCAAGGTAGCACTGGGAAGTAGGAGCATAATTAGTGATTGGAGAAAGCCCATTTCTTAGGTTAAATTGACTGTCTAATTTCCACTGGAGGAGGTCCAATTAAAAAGTCCCAAACAAGCATGTTTTTTTTTTCTTTTTTGTGCTTTTTCAGCTTTTTTTCTTGTTTTTAAAGATTTTGCTCCAGTCTGTGTTTTTATTTATTTATTTGTTTATTTATTTTTTATATAAAGAGCCTACCGCCTTTTAATGAGGACCCATGCAGTGATCACAAAGTTCCAACTTCTGAGGCGCTACCCAGACATTCTGCTGCAGCGTTTAGTTCCCGTGGTCATAAAACTTCTTCAGTGACAGTAGCCTGTGACCGTAATGACTCATAGCCAGAGCTTCAATGCATAGCGCACAGGTCTGGAGTTTCTCAACTAATTTGGTATCTCTGCATAGATTTATATCCAGGGCTTTAACTCCAGTGAAAATTTATCATTTCAGTGTGCAAAAAAAAAAGAAGAACAGTTTGCTGTCTGTTTGATAATTATAGATAGAAGTGGCACATATAAAGCTTTTGTGAAACTCCCTTTCTTCTCTGCAATTATTTCTGTCCTCATTCTACATTTTATGGCTAAAATTCCTCCACGAAATCTTAAATCGTTGTTGTGGCTGTTTCCATGTTTCGTGCCTGTCATTCACTGACTGAAAAAAAGGGGGGGGGGGGTGTAAAATATGCAACGTCCCATCAGGGAATGCGTAATGAAATAATGAGGAAACAGCCATTATTATTAATGAAACCAGTGTAGGAGGCACTGGCACCAGAGAGCCTCCTGAATTTTTTAAACGCTTTATAATTACACTCTCCATCTCTGGAATCCTCATTGGTAGAAATTGTCTCCCCATCTGTCTGTCGTGAATTTGTCTGGCTTTATTTAAACTTTCCCCATCCTCACTAATAAGTATAGTGTGTGATCAGTGTGTCGCAGCACTTTTTTTCTACACTGTGTCTGGCAAGGTTTTAAATCTGGCACCGATGTTTCACTCAAAGCCGAAGACCAGCGTGCACTAACTAACCTCTGTCGCTTATCCTGCTCAACAGAAGTTCCAGTTGGATCGGGTTCACTTGCAGGAGGTGAAGCGCTCCAGTTATGAGCACACCAAGAAATGTGCAGACCAGCTCCTTCTGCTGGGTCAGGTAAGCGCCACGCACATCGTCTGCAGGGATCCCCCAGAAGCAGGCACCCATCTCCTCATCAGAGAGAGACATTTGAAGTTACTGCTCGGATTTAGTACACTGCTTAAAATTTGATCTGGCTTTGGCTGTACGTCGTAGTCGTCGTCTTCCACAGCCTATGACATATGCGCTCTCGTTAGCATACATACGCCCATGATCATAGTCCTAAATGGCTGGTATCAGTCCTGAGGACCGCGAAGGCTGCGCCCTCCCTGGTGCCTCAGCCTGTGGAGAAAGGCGTCACCTCTCTCAATGTCACCGCTCCCACTCTAATCACAGGCTGCAATCAGCAGGCGTGTGTGTTGGAGACGCAGTCATCCCACACTCACACAGACCGAGGGCAGCCTGTGCCGACCTCAGCGTGAGATTGAGCCTGTGCCGACCTCAGCGTGAGATTGAGCCTTCATCTACGCGAGATGAAAAGCAGGATAATAAACATAATTTCCCCTCGCAGTCCTGCTCTCCCCCAGTCCTCTCTTAGCGGACACCTACCTTGTTTTCTCCCTCCCTGCTGCTCCGGTCATTACGCTGTCTTCCCCTTTGTTGTGGCTCTCAGACGGACAGGGCAGTGCAATTACTGCTGGAGACCAGTGCCGACAACCCCAGCTACTACTGTGATTCACTCAAGGCCTGCTTAGTGACCACCATCACCTCCTCCGGCCCCTCGCAGTCTACAATCAAACTCGTGGCCACCAACATGATCGCTAATGGGAAGCTTGCAGGTAGTGTAACGTCTGCTACCCCTTAGCAACCTGCTGTTTCAGTGGGCACAAGCAGCATTTATTATATGGCTCTCTCCAGCCTTGAATTATCTACACAATTAACTAATTGCGGAACAAAACAACAGTAATTTGATTGGGGTTTTCATTATTCATTATTTAGAAGTTTGTTTGTTTTTTTTGTCCTGAAATCAATCTAAATATTGCTCTGTGCGTCATTCTGGGTATTACCAGCAGTCTTTATTAAATCCAAGTGCTGCTGTTAGGGGATATTTTCCCTGTCAGGCATAACGTGTCCATTTCTGCTGCTTTTCAGAGGGAGTTCAGTTGTTGTGTTTGATTGACAAGGCGGCCGATGCCTGCCGCTACTTGCAGACCTACGGGGAGTGGAACCGTGCCGCATGGCTCGCAAAGGTAACCCAGCATGACCGCATCCATCAGCAGGACATATCAGGTTTTGTGTAGTGTTTGGATAGTTTGCAAGGATGTCAGCGCGAGGACTGCAGAGGAAATTAAACCCACTTATTTGCAACGCATTGATTTCTGCGTTGCTTTGAAATTCATCAACCCAAATCAATGTGGGAATCACTGGCTCTCACTCTGGAGCGTGTACAGATAAAAGGCGTCGGTGACTTGTAATGTGTGCGGGCTTGCAGGTTCGGCTGAGTCCAGCCGAGAGCTCGGACGTGCTGAAGCGCTGGGCAGAACACTTGTGCTCCCCGCAAGTCAACCAGAAATCCAAAGCCATCCTGGTGCTGCTTTCCCTGGGCTGCTTTCAAAAAGTAGGAGAGATGCTGCACAGGTGAGATCCATTGAAATGAATAACCCTCATAATTCACTATTCTCTGCTTTTACTCCTTTTTTATTTCTTATTCTATGCACCCATAATGTGCCCATATACTGTCAGTAGTAAAGACATTTGGTTCTTTTCTTCCTCAAGCCAGAAAAACAGTTGTCAATGATATGTAGAAATAATTACAAATGTCCATTTGTTTGACTGGAGAACAGTTTTCCATGTTTTCAGTTTTAAGTTAGCTTTGGCGCCAAGAAGATGACTTCTTTTAAGATTCTTTGAATCTTATGATAACATTATTTACTGTACAGTGGGGAAGTTTTAAGTCTTTGCCATTTTACATTGAGGAACATTGAAGCCCACTCACATTTGTGATGGACGTTACTTGTTACAGCAGCTGTTCTGTTAATACAATACACTTTGCCAGTCTTTTGTTGTTCCTCTCCCATAATTTCTAAAATGTATTGCTGCCATCAAATTCAAAATAAGCCCCATAGTCTGATATAGTTATTATCCAGGTCAAAGCCAATAATGTAAAAAGTCAATAACATGAAAGTTTTAAAGGTTATGACCCTAGTACACCCAAGTGTCAACTAAGTTTGTCCGTCTCCTTCTCTTCCAAAGTATAATGAAGGGCACATCCCAGTGTTTGGTGTGGGCTGACCCGGTGCCTCTTAGCTCAGCATCCATCAGCTGCTGGTGCTCAGTCTTAACAGCTCTCCTCCTGAGATGTTCCTGGCATCAGAAAAAGCTCTCAGGGAATTAGAGTCATCAGAGCGACCGGGTTGATGTATGCTTCAGGATCACAGACATGAAGGCAGAGATGATGTTGGTTTCTGACCACAGTTCTGACCTCCTCCTGCCCGTGTCTTTCTCCTCTTCTCTCCATCTCCTGAGTAGCATGAGGCACTTTGATCGCGCCGCCCTCTTCATTGAGGCCTGTCTGAAATATGGGGTGATGGAGGCCAACGACACTTCAAATATCCTTTTTCAAATCCCATTATTGTGCTCAGAAGGCCATTTATAACCAGAGCTGGCTCCACTGCTGGGTCTATCCATTTCTTCTGCAGACGCGCACCTGCTTGCTAGCAGCTTTCCAGCCATGAAGGTCACTTAAAATGGCCACCATCTCCATGGTCACTGTCACATAGCTTACGGGAGTGAGCTTGCAATTTATACTTCAGACACTTCTTGTGTCATAAATATGTCAAGCAAAAAGTTATGTTGGCTGGGCAGAGCGTCAGATTTAAACACACCAATCAGCAGCCAGCATTCAAACACTTCTCTCTCTCTTTCTCTATGCATGTAAACTCACATATAGTTCCATCCATCCATCCATCCATTATCGTAACCGCTTATTCCCTAATGGGGTCGCGGGGGGACTGGAGCCGATCCCAGTAGTCAATGGGCGAAAGGCGGGGTACTCACTGGACTGTCCACCAGTCCATCACACTCACATTCACACACACGCAATTTTGAATGTCCAATCAACGTAACATGCATGTTTTTGGACGGTGGGAGGAAGCCATGAAACTATGCTTATCGCTTTGTTTCGGGACATTAATTCTCGTCATTAGTTGCATTACCTTTGTCCCCAGTTAGAGTTTACAATCTCCAGTTTCCCACATGTCAGTGAACACACACCATCAGTGGTTGTGCCATTGCTTAAAATGAACCCTTTAATAAATACAGGAAACAGTGAAAATCAGTGGTGTGTAGACCTGCCTGTTCAAAGATGATTTAGGCCATATTTTCCTTGAAAGACAAACGCTGCTGTTACATCGTTGCTGTATTACTAGGAAACTACAGGTGTCTGATTAATCCATCACTGGGACAATCAGGTCAGGGCGCCAGCAGAGACAGCAGTATCAGTGGCCAATTAATCTTCATCAGCACTGTCACATAACACGGAACAGGCCGAGTCGTGCAGCAGCCAAACAACAAAATCTTCCCTTCATGATGATTTGAAAGTGGTCTTGGAGAGAAAAATGCGCATCTTTCAGCTTTACGCAAAGTGTTGAATTCTCCTTAACCGGCACTTGCACATAAACTCATTGAGGCGGCGTTCCTGGAATACGCCCGGCTGCTGCGCGCGCTGGGCCTGCGGGAGGGCGCGGCCCTGTGGGCGTCCCGGGCCGGCGGCGCTGGGGAGCAGCTAATGGAGGAGCTGTTCCGGGGGGAGGGAGGCGGGCCGGAGGCCGCCGTCAGCGAAGAGGAAGCGGAGCTGGGACTGGAGGGCACGGAGTGAGCTCGGGACGAGGGGTAAACCAGGGGTTTGAGTCTACCTTCAGTTACTTTAGCCACTGCAAAGTGTCCAGGAGGAGCTCTACCGCCATCTTCAAAAGGACCTTTGTTGAGTTACCTGCCTGTGAGGTTATCGCTGAAGAGTCTGTGTGTCTGTGGGTGTAATGAGGTTGCTGTTCTCCAATGTGTGGTGTAACCAGTGCGTGTTTGTGCTCATGTGTAAATGCATGCAACAACTCCACACCTTTTTGTAATTGTTTTTTTTTTTTTATCCTATCCTGTTTTGTTCCCAAGCGTTTGTAGGTACCACTAATCTTTGATTAGCATTTCTGTGGGTAAAAAGAGAAGTATCAATGAGTATTTACCCCCCCAAAAACTGTCTGCATATTTTATTTAAAGGCTTCTTTATAACTTGAATCCAAAAGGAAATTTTAGCACTTTTCATCAAACCAAAAACGCTCTGAAATTGGCGTCGAGATTAGTTTAAGCACCAGAGAAATGAGACAGTGCTTTTTAAGTGTTTGACCAAAACCTGTTGCTCGGCACGCCTCTCCAGCCAAGATCGTAGAGCGGCAGTCAGATTATACAGCCAGGCCACCCCGTGCATATTAGACACTAATCAACGTGTTATCTCCTTTCAAGCAGGAGGGAGAAGAATCCTACAGCGCCCACCTGAGTGATATCATTTGATTAGCTGACACAGTTGAATAGATGCTGGATGTACGGTAATCCATTCCAATTATCCCACTGGACCTTTTGATGTGCTATTTTTATGAGAACTTCCGACTTACTTTTATCTGTGTACTTTGATGTTTATATATGGAAGTTGTTCCCTCGTGCGTATGTGTGCGTGTGACGCAAGAAGAGCTATCAAAAATATGTTCACCAGACCTGATTCATGGAATAGTCTGTGCTGCTCCCACTGTCGCTCATCACAATCTGAAACACCCCGACACAGAAGTCGTTCACGCCTGCCGGCGCCTGTTCTTTGCTCCACTTCCGCCTCTCTTTAAAATAATCACTATGCGGTGCAACGAGTTCTCCTGAAACGAGAGAGTTGCTCCATCAATGGAAGCTCCCAGTGTTGTGTTTCATAAACACGTATGTGCTGTTTCTCCTCTGCGTTATGGTGAACCCACCACCCCTACCCCCAGGGACTGTCACTATAACAACCCTGGCCTATTTTAGGGGACTTCATGTTGTTGCCGTGTGCTCCCTTTTTGCTTGGCCCCTCTTAAATTTAGGAGCTCTGAAAAGTCGAGGAGTCGTGCCAGCCAGCTGATGAGAAGCGGCTCTGCCCGGCGCTGTGTTCCCGCTTCCTGTTATGCCTCTTTTGCCTCTTTAGTGGAAGCAACCTGTCCTGATCTGCCTCTTAATAAAGCGGCTTATTGATTCACAAATTATACAGAATATCCGGTTTCTTTTCCTTCCCATTGTTCATTGTTTACACACCGTTCCCAACGCTTTAAGCTGTGTCACCAGAGAAAGAACGTGTGTATATATTCATGGCAATAAATTCCAACTGTTAAGCTCGAGTTTTGGGGTTTTTTTTGTTTTCCAGACATTTACATCTTGACACAAGAGGGCACTCTTGTCACTTAAGAGGAGGGAAAGGAAATGGGGCTCTTAGTGAAAGTTCTGTTTCGACTAATTGTTCTTTTTAATGATCCTGTTTTTTTTTATTTCAACCCAGGTAGAGTGAGTCTGAATGCTCAATCATTCATCAACCTGTCTTAAGAGTGAACTAATCCCCGCGTGAGCCACTTCCGCAATTAATGACTTGTTTTCTGCTTAGGAGGAGGGCCAACAGCTGGCCGGTGCTCACTGCCCAGGTCTAACCGTTTTCACTCTATTCACCGCCTCAGATTTATTCATTGGCATGTATTCTGTTTCTTCTCTCTGCCCCGCTCGAAGCTCCGCACAAAGAGAAGGAAAAACAGTCTGGAACACGCAGGCCTCACAAACGACTTGCTTGTGTTCCTCTAATGGCCTGATGAATAACTGCCGGAGAGCCGTTACGTCCAGGTCATCAATATGCAGAGCCCGGCCAGAGCTTTTCTCCCCCTCGCTGCTGCTTATACGTCGTCTACCACCCAGTTAGTTCTGAAAGCTGCTACCCTCACCTCACACCTCCCCCTTTCCCTCCTCACATATGCCTTACTCCTTCTTTTCCGCCTTTTTTGTTGTTGTTTTTTTTTTACTCTGAAACCTGGCAGATTCATTTGCTTTCTGCACCACCACCACTAATTTCCTGAAAGACTTGTTTCCATCTGCTACTTGGCTTTCACCTCTCAGTGCCGGCCTCCTCCTGAAAAAAAGGATGCGGAGCGGCGTAAGGGGGAACACAAGATTGAGTGTGTTAAGAGCCAGAGCTGTGAGGAGCGTTTATGTTCGCTCGGCAAATGGAAATCGCCGGCCCCTCTCTGTTTGGGCGCACGGGGCCAGAATTAACGGCCCGACTCCAAATCAATCGTAGACGGCGCTCTTAGTGTCGGGCTTTCACAAGCCGCCATTGAAGCGGGCTGCTGTGTGCGCATCGAGCAGAGGCGGAGCACACAGAGCACAGTCTGTGTGGTACACACCGCTGAAGTACAGCAGGTCAGTCAGTTCCCATGAGCATGTTCTGCTCTGCTGCTGACAGATAGCTCTATCCAGGGGGTGGGCAGGCCCCAGCCTGCTCGCGCAAACTTACAGAAACACCCCCCCCCCCCCCCCCCCC